AACAAATAAACAAATTCAAGAAAAGTATATGGAAATTATGTTAAAAAATTATTTTCAACAAACACAAGACATTAGACCTTGTCCAAATAATAAATGTAATTATTATGCATTTCTTCCAAATAATAGATGTGGTAAAGAATTCTCTTGTCAATAATGCAGTAAAATATTTCATTTATATATTTAGATTTTAATTGGCTTGATAAACAATATCTGTCATATGATAAATTATTCTTATTAAAAATTAAAGATACAAAGAGTGATATATTATCATCTGTCTTTGAATTCATTTCAACATAAGAATGTCCTAAATGTGATTCTAAAATTTTGAAAAATGGTGGATGTAGTCATATGACGTGTAAAAAATGCAATTTTTATTATTGTTGGAGATGTAATAATTAATTGAATGACAATGTTCATAATGAATTTCTATGTTTTATTAGAGTACTATGTTATTTGTCAATGATCCTTTTTAATTTTGCTGTTACATTTTATTACTTAGGATGGCTTTAATACTTCATTATGATTATTTGTTACCCATTATATGGATTAGGTCTCTCCTTATTATATAATTCCTACCTTATTTTACCTACAACAATAATAGCTACAATAGTGTACACATACAAACAATGGCCAAAATTAAGTCAGGTTAGAAAATAGAGATTCCGCAAATCCTAAATAATATCCCTTATAGCATAAATAACAATATCTATCATATTAGCCATAGCTACATATTACAATATTTTCAATATTACTTTATATTAAGCCCTGAATTATCACTACTACTAATTTATTATCATTATATCAGGAGGCTCTGTTGTGTTAGTGATATTGCTATTCAATAGTTTTTTTTATTAAAATTGGCTCAAATTTTTGATTTGAATATGTTTTATATATTTATTTATAAAAATACAATTATGAAATATATATAATACTCTTTTAGTAAAGAATACCTTTAATGCAATTCAAATTTATAATAAAAACTTAATAAAATAATAAACCTTTATCATTATTTAGTTTCTATAAATTGATAAGCTAAGTTCTTGTATTGAATTTAATATGTAATATAAATTTGATTCTTAAAAGTAAATAAAAAATAAAGTCAGTAATCATAATTAAATTTGATATGAACACAATTAGAAAAAATAGACCATCTTATGGATCATTTTAAGAAATATAGATAAATGCATCTTGTTCTTCAACTCCAAAGTTGACAAAATCTCAAACTTTTATATAAATGAAGGCAAAATGTGCATCATCAAGTAGTAAAAATTCAACATCGACAAAAATAAACTCACCTTATTAACCTCATTAAAAAAGTTAATTCTCTGTTATAACTCATTCTGATTCATAAGACATTCATTCTATATTAAATGATTGTGTGTAAATATTCAAAGAAATTTAACAGAGTTCTATAAATAATTAAAATGAAGTTGTTTTACTTGATGTGAAAGAGAAAATGCGTAAAATTGAAAAAATAGTTGAAGAAATTTTACAATATCAAAATACTAAAAATTTAAATTAAAACAAGATCTCCTAATATATGTTATAAATTATTGAAGAAAAAAAGCAAAAATAATAAGCTATATAGTCAGGAGATAATTTAATAAAATAATAAGCTAATCAAATTCAATAGTTGGTATTTATATTACATAATCTTAGAATCAAAGAATTTCTCTTTATAAATGATGTTTAATTAAATAAGTAAAATATATTAATAAAATATGTTTTCAATTTATAATTATATAGTTTTTTATTAATTTATGTATTAAATATGAATTATTATTATAACAATTACCTTCAAAGAATGATAAAAGTTATAAAATAATATTCAATTAATCTTTAATATATAGAATTAATACTTTGAATAATATTCAATAAATTAATCATTAATATTAAAATAAAAGAAGAAGAAAATATGATAAACAATATTAGTAGGTAATATCAATTTTATGATTATTGAAAATATATAAGATTAATATATAAAGTAATTAACTATTCAATTTTAAAAAATAGTATATTTTATACAATATTTATTTAGATTATGATTTATCATTTTAAATGTTTGGATTAACTTTATAAAAACAATTATTTAATTTTTAGAATACTTTTAAATATCAAAGTTTTATGTTTAAAATATATACTTGAAAAGTAAATATCAAAATTAAAAGGGGGTTTAGTTATTTTTAAATTCTAGAGATAATATTATATAATATATAGATTAAATCTTGTAGTGTCTCATTAAGTGAATGTGAAAATTAATAACGTATTTTCTATAATATTAAGTTTTTATAAGATTAATCAATAAAATAAATTTATATGCTTCATTTATGATTGATTAAGAATCCCACTTAAGAATGTTCTAATAAATAATGAGCATTGACCCAAGGATGATGTTACATAAATAGAGGAGTACCATCTGTACCAACTCCTCTCATCAATTATTCTTTACCTCCAGGATGTTTATTTAAATAATGAGTAACATCATAAACTTTAGAATTAATAACTATCCATGCTGAATCACTTGTATTATGTTTAGATACCTATAAATATTTTGATATGATAATATACATCTTCTAATGTAAGTTATTTTAATTCACATTTCTTAATGCTTTCATTTAAAGCTCTTTTTGAAATCCAACTGGGTGAAGTGTTTTCTTTAGGTTATTATCCAAATTTAGGAGATTCAGGTTAATTTTATTATAATTGTATTGGTTATTGTGTTTCTTAAGTGACAGAATTTCTTTTTTTTGGTTGTATTAGTAAATCATCAAAAATACCTTTTAAGGTGTCTAAGTATTTTTAATTTGTTTTTTTAATGACTGCAATGGAATAATCAACACTTTCAACCTTTCTTGTTCCTTTATATTTTTCTACAAGAACTTTTTCGTTTGAAATGTTATAGATACTACGATTTTGTCTTAGTTAATTCTGAATATATTGTTAAAACAAATACCATTGCAAGTGTTTTCACATCATGTCTTTATGGTATTGTAATATATGTATGTGGACGCTTGAACTCAATTATTTAATCAATTTCATAATATTGATTTTCTTCATCACGCAAAGTCAATATATCAGTCTAGAATTTCTGTTTGATATCATTTAGTATAAATGTAACAACTTCCTCTAGAATTTCAAGTTCAACTTCATCTTGCATCCAAATAAGGGTATCTTGTCTTTCTTCTATATACAAATTGATTTCTTCCTTATTATTCATATAAAATAATCAAAAATGGGTTGCACTACTGCAAAAATAAATGAGCCATTAAGTTAAAGACTTCGGCATAAAGCTAGTGAAATTTTTAAGAAGTTAGACATAAAAGGTAATGGAACCATTGATAAGGAAGGAACAGAATAATTTTGGTAAGAATTTAAATAATTTACTAAAGGAAGTCTAACTTTGCAAAATTAAATACAGAAGCATTATTTGAAGCAGTAGATTTTGATAAGAGTGGAGATATAACAGAAGAAGAGTGGATGGCATTTTGGGAAATTGTAAAAGAAAATGGGTATTCAGAGGAAGAAATAAATTTAGAAGTATCAATTAGATAATAAAAGAAAGTTGGATGAATTAATGGATGGTAAGGCATGGGTACAATTCAAAAGAGTAGATAGATTTTTAAAAATAGATGAAAAGAGAAGAGGTTCAAGAGTCAAATCAATTGTGCAGGAAGAAAAGAAGAAGCTTTCTATCATCTAACCAGCACGATTATAAAAGAGTAAGACTATGGAAAATGAGGGAAATGATATGCAATAAGAGAATTAGCAAGAATCTTGATTATATTTATAATTAGATATAATATCATAGTTAAATAAAATTGAAATCTTCAACTACTGCAAGTTTATTTTCATCATCAACATAAATAACATTTGAAAGAACTTTAACTATAATGAGTTCTATAAATTTAATACATCTCTATATTAATTAAGAAGATTAATATATCAGCACTTTCATAGATGGATTGTCAATTAATGATAATTAAATCAAATTATATATAAAATTAAATTAAATTACTTGAACTAATATGATCAACAATAATTTATTGTAAATAATGATAAAATAAAGGTATGAAATAAACTAATAAATTAATTTATTCTTATAAGATATAATATAATAGTTATATCTATTCTTCAAATGATTCGAAATTTAAAAAATACTTATTAGATTTCTCATAAAAATAATGTAATATCATTTTAGTAATTTAGTTATATAATGCATTAATTTTTATCAATTTATTCTTCAATTTTAATGTGTTTTATAGGTTCTTATATATCTAAGTGATTTCTATTAATAAAATTCAATCTTTTTAGAGTTAGAAATTCTTATAAATTATTATTATTCAATTACTTAACTAGAAACTTAAATAATGGTGAAAGAATTTTGAAATAGAATCCATACTTAAATTGATAACCTTCATCTTTAAATGAATAATGGTGAATTGTTTTGAATTAGTTATCAATTATCAATTGAAAATACTAAATTATAAATTTTCAAAGGAAAATCAAGTAGAAGAAGAATACTAAATTCATTATTAATATTTTTATTAATATGCTTCAATTTGACGTTGTAATCTATTGACATTAGATTTAATACGATTCATTTATGTTTATTCAGCATTCTATACAATTTCATAATCAATTAATGGTTAAGAGTATCTTGGATCAAATTCTTCTTCTTTTATAACTTAGAATTTATTTAATTCAAATTATCTTATGTTTACACGAACCTAATCAAGGTTTTTATCTATTCTGCTCATAAGTTCTAATAAATCTTATAAGGAATCTCCAGAATCAGGGAATATTAGAACAGGTTTTTCTTTAGACCAATTGTCAACTGGAATTTCAAATGATTTATGTAATACATCTTCTAATGTTTCTGCTGAATTCTTAAGTAGAATATAAACCTTTTAAATTTCTTCGTCAATATTCATAAAATAATCAACTTGGTGACATTTTGTAAGAATTATGTAAAATTTATCAAATTTCCTTATAATAATTTGATGGAATAATCATTGTTTTTCCTGTCAGCTGAAATGACAGCTATGAAAGCCTTTAATGAAAAGACATTGTCCATATATTAAAATATGCAATTTCTTGATAAGAAACTCAAAATGAAAATACCAAAATTGAATTTAGCCATTACAACTCATAGATTAATATTTACTAATCACACAAACATAGATTAATTAACTGTGAATGATGTTAAATTTGTCTATTTTGTTATACCCTTATAGCATGTAAAAACTATCTAACAAAAAGTAATCAATACATCTTATATGAGACTGGATTTCTATCATCTAAAATAGATCATATTAATATTGAAACTAATTTGGGTGAGATTGCTCTATATGGTGATAATCTTGAAGGACCACTCTTATAGATAAAAGGTAGTATAGAAAAAAAGGAATGGCTTCAAGTACAAGAACAATAATAAACATAATCAGTTTATCGTGGAATGAAAAGTGAAATAGAAAAAAAGGAGAAATAAACATAATAAACAATAGATACTGTATAAAGCACATTTAAAGGTGGATTTGAAGAATTATTTAAGAATGCTACAGAATTAAAAGAGATTTCATAATACATTAAATAAAATATAAAGAAAGGAGAGAATAATGAGATTGATGAAATTTTATCTAAAATTGGTTAATCAAGATTAGATAAGTAATATATATTAAATGATTTATATAAGAACTGAGGATTAATTTTATGAGAAATTAGCTGATTAAGTATATAAACTTTGTGTTGAATTATTTCCTAAGATGGGTGGTATAATATCACTTTTAGATGTCTATTATTATTTTAATAAGAAACGTAATTCAGATTTAGTGAGTCCAGAGGAGATATTAAAGGCAGGTTTATAATTTTAAAAATTGAATTATTAAGCAAAGGTTGAAAGATATGATGGTATTTCTGTAATTGAATCAAGTATTTTTGATAATAATAATATTTTTAAGCATAATATAATAGTGATAAAGATTATGAGAATACTTTAGGAAAATATATATCTTATGAAATTGGATTGACTGCTGAATAATTAGCAAAGAAATTGGGGATTTCAGTTATGATATGTAAGATTAAACTTAAGAATGCTATAAATTTAGGGAAAGTATGTGTTGATAATAGAATTGAAGGTACTCGTTATTTTAAAAATTTAATAATTAATATTTGAACAAAAATAATTTATATAAAATAAAAATATGAATTTATAATAATAAGAAAGACAAAGAGTCACAGATAATTTAAGTTAAATATCTTAATTAAGTACTAGAGCACCTACAATTATAAATTAATAATAAGAATCATTACCATTTATTTCATATACAACTGAAAATGTTGATAGATAATAAAAATAATAAGAAGAAAATGAAAGAAAATAAAAATTAATGGCAGAAGCACGTAAATTAATGGTACCCACTTAAGAAAGCTAAATTAAATCATAATTAAGATAATTAGGATAACCAGTAACTTATTTTGGAGAAAATGCAGCTGATAGAAGATAGCGTCTACGTACATTATTAACAGATCATTTAATGTAATATGGTAGATTACCTTAATTTTTTAAATAATAAAACAATCACAATATGGGAAATTTAGAAAATGAATATTTCTTATATGAAGGAGTAGAATAATTAAGAGCTGCAAGAATTGAAATAGCAAAATTATCACTTCATAATGCAGCACTTAGAGTTGAAAAATTGAGATTAAGAAGATTAACTGTTGATGCATTATAAGAAGATTAAGAAGTATTAGAAGAAATGTAAAAAGTAAATCATTTTGCAATTTAAATGTCATAATTTGGTGATTCTTCAGGAATATCTAGATCAACTATTAGTCCAAATTAATAATATCTTGCAACTGCTGGTGGATCTGGAGAATGTAAATTATGGGATATATAAACTGCATCACTTAAATCTAGTTTTTTAGGACATTTAACTAAATGTCATTCTATTGCATTTCATCCTTAATCTTTATTAACATTATCACCTTAATCATTTGCTAATGTTGCAACTGCTTCAGCTGATCTTTCTATTAGATTGTGGACTCTAGATTTAGAATAATAAGAAGTTGAGAATTTAGGAATGTTATAAAAATCAATTGTTTTGAAAGGTCATGAAGATAGAATTAATAAAGTAATATTTCATTAAGATGGTAAAAGATTAATTAGTATGGGTTTTGATAAAACATGGAGATTATGGGATATAGAAACATAAACTGAATTAATGGTTTAAACAGGACATTCTAGAGCAATTTATTCAGGAGCACTTCATCCAGATGGTTCATTATTATTTACAGGAGATTTAGGAGGATTTGGAATGGCATGGGATTTAAGAATAGGTAAAGGTATTTTACCATTTGTTGGTCATGTTAAAGGAATATTAGCTAGTGATTTTAGTATGAATGGTTATCATATTGCAACTGGAGGAGATGATAATTTTATTAGAATTTGGGATATTAGAAGAAGAAATGTAATTGAAAAAATACCTGCACATATTAAATTGGTAAGTGATTTAAAATTTTAACCAAATTATAGTAAATTCTTAATTAGTGCTTCTTATGATGGAAATATTAAATTTTGGAATTCAAGAGATTGGAGTTTGCATTCAGTTTATGAGACTTCTGATACAAAAGTAATAAATATTATTTATATTTTAGCATACTTCTGTTTGTATTACTGATGATATAAAGACTATGATTTCTACAGGTTTAGATAGAAAATTTGTTATTTGGTAATGATTTATAATTAATTATTTAATTATTATAATAGAATATTAACATAATTCTTAACTTTTCATTCTTGAAAATTGAATTTATTAGTCTATATAATTTAGTAATTTATTAAATTATATATATATAATTAATCATTAGTATAATTAGATATTATAAAAATATATAAATTGATACATTCATTTGTATATATTATAAGGCTTTTTAATTGTTATTATTAAACTTTCACTTATTTATTTATGATATTAATTATAATTATAGAAATTCATAAATAAAAATATTTTAAAAACTTTAAGAACAATTTAATTATAATATATTTTTTGATTAGTTGAATCAAATTAATTGATATTTTAAGATAAACAGAATTTTGAAGGCTTATATTAATAATTAACATAATGTCTAAGTTAAGTGAGAATATTAAGAAATTTCTTAGAGAACTTGATCAATTTGGAGTTGTATTCAAACCAAGTATAACATCAGATAGTGAATATAAAACAGTTTTAGGTGGAATATTGTCTATTCTGCTTTATGGAGTAAGTTTAGGATATTTCATTTACTAATTTGTTATTTGGAAAGAAGGTGGCATGTTACCAAAAATAACAGTATCAAGTGAAGTAATAGAGACTTAATAAATTTATTTTGATGAACCTCTATTTTCAATCAGAATGAGAAAGATGAATGATACAAATATTGATCCATTCAATCCTTAGAATATAATTATGTTACCATTAATATTCTAATATATAAATGGATAATTAAGTACTACTCCCAGTATTCCAATAATAAATAAAACAAATGATGATAATGAGTTTGTAACCATATATTTCAACAATATTACATTAGCCATTAGTAAAGATAAAACAATTGAATTACCAGAATTGGAATATATGATTTTATTGATTGATTGTGTTCCTCAATTATTAGCAAATAATACAGAAATGAAATGTGCCAATTCAACAACAAGAAAAAGCTTTTTTAATTAATCTGTTAATACACTATACTTTACTACTTTTATAAAATAATTTAATGCTCAACAAGAAAAAATTAATACATTTGGAAATGAAGTAATTGTCGCTTTAGATCCAAGTTCTGTATATTTTTCAACAAGTACTTTGTAATTATAGGAGACTACAATAGATAATGGATTATTGTTTGAAAACACTTATTAGAGAAACTTTATATTAGATATATCAACAGCTGGTTAATAAGTGAATAGTAAGTTTTTTTCAAGTGTAATAAACTCTACTACTTATTTTATCAACAATTATTAATTAAATGGAATCAAATCAATTTAATATATTTAATATCCAAAAATTAATGAAGTCTTGGCTGATACAGGATCTATAGTTTCTATTTTACTTTTAACTTCAGCCTTTGTAATTATGACTAATCAATATTTTTTGGAAAGTGAAGCCATTTCCTAGGTTATAAATATGTTTTATCCAAATCTTAAATATTTAAAGTATAGAAAGAATTGGTATGGAAAAGTTATAAGAATTGAATTGTTAGGTAGAAATCTAAATATTAATAAATTCAATGTATAATATGGAAGACTTAAAGAAGTAGCTTAAACAAAATTAACAATAACAAATTAAATATATGAAATCTCAAGGATTTAATTTATTTTACAATCTATGATAGATAGATCTAATTTTAATTATTCTCATATGATTGGAATCAAAGAAAACAATTTCATTGAAAATACAAAAGAAGAGAATGAATTTGATAATCAAGAAGGTGAGATCTTTAAGGATTCAAAAGTGGTAAATATTAAGATTTATTTTAGATTCCATCTAATGATAGTAAACTTGAAATATAATAGAATTAATAGATATAACAAACAATGTTCCCAGATCAATCTAGTAATACAATTCTACCTAATGAAACATAAAAACTTGAAATATTTTAATAGCTTAAATCAGAAAATTAAACTTCCAATAATGATAAATAGTTTAATTCAAAAGAGCTAATTGATTAAGATTTTGAGTTGCTAATTTGTAAAAAAGATAGAACTGAAGCTTAAATATTGCCTTAGTTCTTTGATATCAATAAAGTTACATGATATTTATATTACTTTATGATTAAATTACTCTAAAAGATAGATTAATTTGGAGTGACATTCTAATCCAGAATCCAATATTCAATTTCTCATTATAAGACACATTTTGGAGGAGCAATGTCTATTATATTATATGGATTGAGTTTGGCATACTTAATTTATATTACCATCTAATGGAGAACAGGATAAATACTACCAAAAATTACTACATCCTCAAAAGTGTAAAATAATGAGTATTTTGAACTCAATGAAAAATTCGTTGAGGTTGAACTAAGAAAATTTGGTTATTCTAATATTGATCCTTTTAATCCTGATGCCCTTATTCTTCAACCTCTTTTATACGTTTTCAAGAATGGTATACCTTTGAATAAGCCACTTGTTCCAATATATCAAATAACTATTAAAGAAGATAAATTTCATTTAATAAGTTTTTCCAATTTATCTTTGTCAATTAGTGAGATGAGAGATGAAATATATCCAGAATATGAAGTCATGCTTACTTTTGGAACTTGTCTTTAAAATTTTGTATAAGAAGGATAAACATGTGCAAATGAAACAGTTATCGAATAATTTAAAAAATAATCGACCAATACTCTTATTTTAAAGTATTTTGCAAAAGAATTTAATACTAAAACAGAAAATCTAGAAATTATTGGAAGAGAGTAAATCATTCCTTTACAATCTAGTAAAGTATTTCAGACACAAACATATATTTAAATTACTAAGACATCTGTAGATGTAGGTATGTTATTAGAATCAAAAAATGAATATAAGTACATAAATGAATATCGTGTAGTAGGTTCCACTCTAGATTTAGAATATTATAATGGATTTTTTGGATATAATGTTTATATAGCATTCTTATATAAGATAGATAATATTTAGATTGAGATTTCAGTTGTTTACACAAAAATAAGTGAAATACTTGCAGAAGCAGGATCTATTGCATCTACTCTATTGTTATTATCTAATTTAGTTATATATTTTAATAAAAAATAATTAGAATTTGAAACAATTAATAATGTTATTTAGATATATTATCCAGAGATTAAAAATATAAAAATAACAAAGAATATATTAGGATAAATAAAAAAGGTAGAAAAGAATGGAAAGTAATTGGATTTATAATCATTTAATAAATATTATCAAAAATTATCTCATATTGGTGAAATCAAATTAACTATATATAACTAAATTTATGAAATATCTAGGCTATAATTCTTATTGTAGAATCTCTTACCATCAAAAACAATTTAACAAATTCATCATTAAGGAATACCATTCCAATTCTAATATACAGATAGTAATAAAGAAGAAGAATAGTCAAATATTAATAAAATAGATTATAGTATCAATTAAGATTATTAATATAAATTAAATACTATTGTATTTAATTATTTTTATATAGATTCCAAATAATATTAGTCCACCTAACATTAAAAGTAATGATGTTTAAACTATATCTCAGACTGAATAAAAATTAATTCAAATTCAATAAAAATTATTAGAAAATAATCTTAATACATAAGTATAATAATTAAAAGACTCAGACTTCGATCTATTAATTCAACCAAAAAGTGAACTTAAATTTAATATGCTTTCAAATCATCCTGATACAATTATTTAATCTGAATTGTGATAATAGTTAATATGATGATATTAATAATTATAATAATTTTTAATTTAATTTGAAAAATGTTGAAGCTATTAGAAAATCTTGATTAATTTGGGGTGGCATTTTAACCAAATATAAAGTACTCTAAAAATTAACACAAAACAGTAATCGGAGGCATTATGTCAATTATATTGTATGGTTTAAGTTTTGCTTATTTAATTTATTTACTAACTTAATGGAGTCAAGGATAAACATTACCAAAAATTACAAATACTTAAAGAAGCATTAAAAATTATGAATATAAATTGAATGAAACTTATGTATAATTTGAAACAAGAAAGCTTTCTTAAACATTTATTGATCCATTTGATCCTAATGCTATAGTATTATAACCTGTTGTTTATACTTTTAAAAATGGACTGATTATTGATGAACCTTAAGCAGTCAATTATCCAGTTTAAATAAAAGAAGGATTTATTGTATTGAATATATCCAATTTATCACTTTCAATAAGTGATGAGAAATCAGATCAAGCACCAGAGATTGAAGTAATGATAGCTTTAGGAAAGTGTTAAAAGCGCTTTTTATTAGAAGGACAATAATGTGCAAATCAAACTATAACAGATGGCTATTTCTAATAACCTACAAATTCTCTTCTTCTCAGATAATTTGTTAAAGAGTTTAATACAAATGATGAAATATTAGAAACTATTGGAAGAGAATAATTGATATCTATTTAACAAAATTACACATTTTAAATTTAAACCTTTATTAGAATGTAAGAGACAAATGTTGATACAGGATTTTTATTTGAATAGATGCAAAAATATAATTTTATTGTAGATTATAGAGGTAGTAATGCAATATTAGGTTTAAATTATTTTGGTTAGATTTTAAGTTATAATATATATATGTCCTTATACTACAAAATAGATAATATTTAATAAAAGCAAATAATTATATATCCTAAATTAAGTGAAGTTTTGGCAGAAGCAGGTTCTATAGCATCTACTATATTATTGATATCCTATTTAGTTATTATTTTAAATGAGAATCAATTATATTAAGATGCAATTAATTAAGTAATATCTTTATATTTTCCTGATTTTGCTTCAATTAAAATTAAGAAGAATATCTTAGGTTAAATTATATAAGTTGAAAGAGATGGTAAATTATTAGATTTAAATTCATTTAAAATTTAATATTCTAAATTAAAAAGAATAAGTGAAATTAAATTATCAATTTCAAATCAAATATATGAAATATCAAGGATTTAAATAATATTGTAAACTATCTTTTCATCTTAATTTATAAATCAATCCCATTAAAAAGGGATTCCACTTTAAACTTCATATTTAGAACCTTTTAAAGATGAATAGTAAAGTATAATTAAGATGGATGTGAATACTAATTAAGAAAATCTTCTTAAATAAAATTAAATTGTAATAACAATAATATTAAATAGGTACCTGCTTCTATAGATAGTTTAATTGAAAAGAAGATCTCATAAGATGAATCATAATAGAAATAATAACCATGTTAATAAGATACTTCTTAAGGTGAGATGTGTCATTAATTAAATTAAAGGGATTAAATTAAAAAATCTTATGATATTATACTATAAGAATCTGATTTTGAATTATTGATTCTGCAAAATCGAGATTAGAATGATTAAGATAACAAAATTAAATGATTTAAAGAGAATATGATCAAATATCAGCTCCACAAAACATACATAATAAANTTGATGAACCTTAAGCAGTCAATTATCCAGTTTAAATAAAAGAAGGATTTATTGTATTGAATATATCCAATTTATCACTTTCAATAAGTGATGAGAAATCAGATCAAGCACCAGAGATTGAAGTAATGATAGCTTTAGGAAAGTGTTAAAAGCGCTTTTTATTAGAAGGACAATAATGTGCAAATCAAACTATAACAGATGGCTATTTCTAATAACCTACAAATTCTCTTCTTCTCAGATAATTTGTTAAAGAGTTTAATACAAATGATGAAATATTAGAAACTATTGGAAGAGAATAATTGATATCTATTTAACAAAATTACACATTTTAAATTTAAACCTTTATTAGAATGTAAGAGACAAATGTTGATACAGGATTTTTATTTGAATAGATGCAAAAATATAATTTTATTGTAGATTATAGAGGTAGTAATGCAATATTAGGTTTAAATTATTTTGGTTAGATTTTAAGTTATAATATATATATGTCCTTATACTACAAAATAGATAATATTTAATAAAAGCAAATAATTATATATCCTAAATTAAGTGAAGTTTTGGCAGAAGCAGGTTCTATAGCATCTACTATATTATTGATATCCTATTTAGTTATTATTTTAAATGAGAATCAATTATATTAAGATGCAATTAATTAAGTAATATCTTTATATTTTCCTGATTTTGCTTCAATTAAAATTAAGAAGAATATCTTAGGTTAAATTATATAAGTTGAAAGAGATGGTAAATTATTAGATTTAAATTCATTTAAAATTTAATATTCTAAATTAAAAAGAATAAGTGAAATTAAATTATCAATTTCAAATCAAATATATGAAATATCAAGGATTTAAATAATATTGTAAACTATCTTTTCATCTTAATTTATAAATCAATCCCATTAAAAAGGGATTCCACTTTAAACTTCATATTTAGAACCTTTTAAAGATGAATAGTAAAGTATAATTAAGATGGATGTGAATACTAATTAAGAAAATCTTCTTAAATAAAATTAAATTGTAATAACAATAATATTAAATAGGTACCTGCTTCTATAGATAGTTTAATTGAAAAGAAGATCTCATAAGATGAATCATAATAGAAATAATAACCATGTTAATAAGATACTTCTTAAGGTGAGATGTGTCATTAATTAAATTAAAGGGATTAAATTAAAAAATCTTATGATATTATACTATAAGAATCTGATTTTGAATTATTGATTCTGCAAAATCGAGATTAGAATGATTAAGATAACAAAATTAAATGATTTAAAGAGAATATGATCAAATATCAGCTCCACAAAACATACATAATAAATCTGAATCTTCTTTTTGATCTAAAATAGCCTATTTAATTGCAGAAAATGGGATTTCTTCATGAGGTTCTTTGCCTACTACTTTAAATATTAATCTTGTATAATATTCACAAAGCATATCCAAAAAATCATCTGTATTCTATATATATTTTGCCAAACAAACTTTAGATAATTGATAGATCTCTTCCCAACATAATTACCCATTACCATCTTAATCAGATATTTAAATAAATAGATCTAATTTTTCAATTAATGTTTTTGCTCTTATACTAACCATTAATTTTAAAAATTCATTCCAATTCAAAAAACCACTATAATTAAAATCTATTTTATTGAATATTTCTTATGCAAGAAATTCACTTTACATAAATATTTAATATATCCCTGTTCTATATGTATCATAATCAACTCCATCATCTACATTATAATATCTATATCTTTAGGATGTGATTTATTGTAATGCACAATATAAAATATAAGTATTATGCAATTCATATCTTGAAAAATTAGTATCTTTTAATATTTTTGGAATTCCTTATATAAATAAATCCTTATTAATATTCAATAATTTATGTAAGCTTCCTTTTTTAGTTATAAGTTCTTATGTATTTTTCTCTATAAAATTGGTAGAATTTCTGATTTACTCTTTTTAATCATTATTAAAATTCACTTCAGGTGCTTCATCTAAATTAATATTAGCTTTTCTGTGTAAGAATTTTTTTAATAGAGGTTCTAGAAGTTGTGCAGCCTATTATATTTGGCTATATGATGTATATATAAATAGAAATACTTTTCAATCAATTTTTAACTTGATATTTATTCTACATGAATAGCCATTAAATCTTCATTCTAATCATCTTATGTAAATTTAATTTTCTTTAATTCTTAATCATACCATCCTTCAATCTTTTCTAATTTCTCTATCTTAGGATTTTTTACAATATAATCATTTGACATATATTCTTAATATTAATTTTTTTATTTTGTAGTCTTACTAATTCTAGACATCTAATTTATTATTGGAGTGAAATTAGAATTTCTTTTTATTTCAGCATATGAATGTTTCAATTCTTTTGATGTTAAAAATTCTTATGTGATTTCAATTTCCTCAGGCATTGTTTCTACTCTATAATCTTGATTTATTGATTAATAATTCTAATATATAAGAGTATTAATTATGCCATCAACATGATGTGAATAATCTGGTTCTGTTCTTCTTATTGTTTATTCACAATGATGTTATTAACAACAATTCTCAAGGTACAATAATTAAGCATTGAATATTTCTTTATAGACTGTAGAAGTAGAATAAATAAGAAGACTCTAATTGATTGGAATATCAAGATGTGAGTAGACTGGAGTTCCATCTTTCAAATAGAAATATAATTTCTTGGAATTTATCTTCAGTCTGAAGTGTCACATAATTTACAATTATACCTATTTTTAACTACGGCAACAAATTCTTAGAATGCATGCTTGTCTTTAACAGAATGATCTGGTACATACATAAAGATATACTACAAAGTATTTGTATTTAGATACAACTAATTTACTATAACTATCTATTTCATCCTAAAGTATTATTGATTTATTACCCATTTTATTTAACAAAATATCTACATTCTTAGTCAGTTGATGTTTTAATTCTTTATGAATGTTGAGAAGTAATGATCTATCTTTGACAAACATTTTCTTATAAACGAAATCTAGAGTAACTCTTAACTAAATTATTATCTTTTTAATTTTAATCCTATATTAATCTTCCTTGATGAAATTTAATTGTTTCTTAATATTTTGTTTCTTAGATTGTGGACTCTTTGACTTCTGGCCTTCGTTCAAAGTGTCGAGTTAATAAAAAAGAGGGAGGAGTCTCTCTTGATGTACTTGGTTGGTTCCTAAAGAATAATTTCTGAACCTAAATAGTTTCTTATTGATTTCTTTATTTTCTGTATTATTGATAAGAAGATTTACAAGATTTTTAAATAATCTCGTGAGTACTATTGCTAGATTTTTTAGGACTTTCAAATTAAGATTTCATGATTTTCCTTACCAAAGGTTATGTTTCGAACTCTTTTATTGAAGTTACAGAAGGTAACATGATATAATAATAAATATATATTGAAATAATTAAAAATCTAAATTCACTAATATTATATTTCCAAGATTATATTTTAAATTTAGTTAAATATTCATATCAATTTTTTTAGATTCATAAAGATGCAATCATATTAAAAATCTAATTAATTATCATTTACATAATTTTATATCAAACCGTGTTTTTTAAAATAATAGTCTAATTGATTGATTAAAGAGATATATTAGAATTAATATTTTATAGAAAAAATGGTATAAGACAATAATATTCATTAATTTTTTTGTGTAGAGTTTGAAAATTTCAATTTAAAATTATTTTATCTGTGAATTACTTAATATTTTGATTTTGAATTAAACAAAAATTATAATAATTATAATTATAGAGTCCATTTAAAAATTAAATCACTAAATTGTTCACTCAATATTGTTCTTTTTTTAAAGAGGTGGTTTTGAAGATAGAATTCTTTGTGTAGTCAAGTTCTCTTGCTTTTGAGGGTGATTTAATATTTTAGTTGTTTGATTCACATTCTTATTCTATTTATATATATATATACTTATTTTAGATTGTCCTAAATTAATTAAGTTTTGCTTTTCATAAAAAACTAATTTTCTATTTGTTTTGATTAATTAAAAGAATTATCAGATTTTGGTTATGTTGTTTAGCCTTACTTTACAGCTCTATCTAGAGATTTATGTAAAGAAGGTAAAAAGTATTATTCTGGTTTTTGATTATAAATTAATTTCTTTAGTTAATCACATGATTTTCTTTCTCTCTTTTATTCTTTATTATTCACTTAGAATTACGAAATTTTATTAGAACCAACTGATGCAGAATCTGCATTAGACAATTTTTTAGCTTTATCACCAGAATTAGAAGGATTTTTACTATTAATTCTTTAGTTTCTATTTAATCTGAATCGATCTTTTTCTACAGGTGTTGTTGGATATTTAAATCGATTTTTAATTAGAGGAGTTTTAATTGGACCTGCTTTTTTAACATACTAAAGGAATTACAAAGCTTTAATCAAAATTTTAATTTTGTTTTAGAGAGTATGAAATTTAAGGGTTTCAATAAATGTTAATGGTGAATCATCTTTTCCTGTAATCCATGGATGTTCTAAACATTAGTTAACACTTAATCGATCTTCTGGTAAATAGGCAATAGTTTTAAGAAGAAAACTTTTTGCCTTTTGATTAATTTCATATTCCCAATTCCATTTCATCTAATTAATTTTTTGAGAATAAGACTAAATATCATCCATTTTTTAAAAGAAAGGATGTTTTCCTTAATTTAATAAATTAAACACTACAATTCCTAAAGCCCAAATGTCTACACTCTAAAATAGATCACAAAATATAAATTTACTCTATTGTATTTCTTTTTTTAGATTTATTCAGGTGCCATATATAAAATAGTTCCACAATTTTCATTCATTAATTTAGAACCTTCAACATTTGTCAATTATGCTGATAATCCAAAATCAATCAAAGTTACATGTAATGTTTCTGGATCAATCATGATGTTTTCTATTCTTAGTATTAAAATTTACCAGGTTTAATATCTCTATGAATTATATTCTCTTTATGTAAATATTAAATAGCTTCAAGTATTTATTTTGTTATTAAAATAACTGTCTCATTGTCCAATAAATTTTTTTGGTATTATTTCAATGTAACTCCATTAATTAGATCCATCATTATAAAAAGTTTATTTTTTGTCTCTTTGCTCTATCAATAAGAGTTCAAACATACAAAAGAAACACGCACAACATTTGGATGAGATAATTTAATTAGAAGTTGAGCTTCTTATCTCAAAATCTCTATTTATTAAGAATTAAAAAGAACTTTGTCAATTATTTTGATTGCTACTTATTTATTTGACATATTCAGAGCTTCAATCACAGTAGAGAATGCTCCCTTTCCTAAAATCTTAAGAGGTTTGCAATATTATTAAATAAAATTTTTTTGTTTCTCTTCAGGATCTGATAATATATCCTATATGTTTGTTATTCCATTTAATTTTTTCATATATATATTTATTTATTATTATACTATTATGAATAATATTTTTTTATAGTATAATATTATCTATGAAAAGATGAGTAAGACTTAATTTTATTACATGTATGAAATTTATTTTATATTCTACTTAAAAAGTATAGATAAAAATCTTTATATTTAATATTCTCTTAGAATGAAAAAGTAGGATTGATTATGTTATAATCTCTATTTTGTTTCATATATACATTTAGACTATTATATAACATTATTCTAATCGTAAACAAAATAAAATTATTATAATTAAATGTTGTAAGAAGTATAAGTTTTCTTTATAAGCCCTCTTTCATAATATAATAGGATAAATGACGAATCTTTATAAAAATACAAGTATCTACAATATATGGGATAAAATAAAAATGCATCTATTATTTGTTCCCTAATACATTATGCTTTTAATAAACAAATATCAAGAATCCTAGAATAATTTCTTGAATTGATAAATACCTTAAAGAATTAACCGATTTTAATGGAATTTACAAATTTAATTGAGTCAACCAAAAATGCGAAGAATCCTGTTTAGAAGTTCTTTTAAAATCTATATCTGATAGATCAGAAAAATGAAATTGCAGGTAAAATACTATTTGATATTTGTAAAAGAAAAAATTGGTTGGATGATAGTTAAATATCATATAATAATATAGCAAAATATTTTTAGATGAGGATTTCATTTCTTAATTGTAATGAAATTTATGGAATCAAATTCAAAGATTCTATTGATCTAATAGTTGATCCTAATTAAAAATTCTACTATTTAATCCCTGAATTAATAATTAAGAACCTTGAATAAATATCATGTCCTTATTGTAAAAGTAAAAATGAATTTATTTAATTGATTTGTGAACATAAAAAATGTTACAAATGTCTACTTAAGAAACTAGATCCACTAAAATGTTGTGGAAAACTCAATATCAAATAATATCTATTAAATTAAATTAAAAACCTAGAGTATTTGAAAGAATAAAATGAAAAGTAAAAAATATTATAAAAATATTATGAAAGTTCAAATTAATCATTTGGACATACAGAATAATAATTATAATAGAATAAAAGTGTTAGAAATTAATTGAATCAAGATAATGATAAATTAAAGAATTCATCTGTTATTGATATTCTATATGAATGTAATTTATGTTTTAAAAAGGTGTATACTTAATTATTTACATTATAAGATTGTAAACATCAATTTTGTTATGATTGTATGTACAGAATAAAATTACTAGATAAAGATTGTCCCATCTAAAATTGTTTTAAAAAAATAGAGTAAAATGAGGAAGTTTAAACTTGTTAAATCAAAAATAATTCAGATAATAAAGAATAAAAAATTATTAATTAAAATCTAAAATAAAGCATATAAAATTAATCAATTCTTAAAGTAACAGAACAATGTTCGAAATGCTATAAAACATTCAATTATAAATTGTTTGAAATTAAAAAGTGTAATCATAAAATTTGTATTTAATGTTTATCAAGTATTGAAATGAAATATGAATCCATTTAATGTTTATATTACAAATGTTAATCAATATTTACGAAAAATGAGTACAATATGTACATTAAGAATTTACAATCAATATAAAATACTGAACCTACTCAAATGCAAAAAATAATTACTAACTAAAACTAATCATATTTTAATTGTGAAAATTGTTAGAATAAGAGAAGTGAAGATCAAAAATATGTCTTAAATTGTGGTCATTCTGTTTGTTTTACATGTATAACTTAGGATGTATCATATAAAACATCATGTTGTTATTTAACATCATTAGATTTTGATTATTAATAATTTAGGAAAAATCTGATTATAAATTGCTAAGGTTGCCAATGTCCTTTTCAAATAAAAAATTTATTTTAATTGAGGTGTAAACATTCATTTTGTTTAAATTGTTGTTCAAAAATATATTTAGGAAAACCATCAAAATGTTTGGAAAAAAAATGTGAAAGGCTAATAATTTATATTGAGGATCTTTTTAATTTCATTTATAATAAAAAAATAGAGTAAAGTACAGAAATTACTAACTAAGAAGATTAGAAAAAAAACTCAAATTCTAAATAGGATTAAGAAGAAAATAAAAATGAATAAAAGTTAGAGAAAAAAGATAATAATTAAATAAAAGAATAAACAAAATTGTAAGAAAGCAATCTACATAAATTTAGTTATAAACAAAATAATAATGATAAAGAAGAAGAGTAGTCTTTTTAAGTCCAAAAATCTGTAATAAATTTAAAGGAATATAAAATAGATAAATAAAAGAAAGAGGATATAAATATACAATCAATAAAATAACAAGAAATTATTACACCTAAATAATAGATTTCCTCTTAAAATGATGAATAGACAAGATAAGATATTTAAAATATTTTAGATGATAGCTCAGATTTTGAAAATAATTTTGAAGAGGAAATAATTATTTATTAACAAATTGAAGAAATTAAATCTGCATAAGAAAAAGAAAATGAGTTTTGTGAAGGAAATTGTACAAATTGTAATTAAGAATTTTCAACTTTTAACAGAAAATAATTGATAAATTGTCAATCTCATTAAATTGGAGTTTGCTGTATTTTAATAAAATTTAAAAATTGTCCTCAATGTGAATAAATACTCCCTAAAAATTTTTCAATAAAATAAAAGCTAATTTTACCTACCAATCCAGTAGAAGAGGAATATATGTTTGAATCTACTATTATTAAACCTTAATCAGCAAATAATTATCCTATATCACTTCAGCAAACATATTAAGGTTATAGCCATTAATTATAAAAATTGGAAAGATAGAGAAATAATCAAAATAGTGCTATTAAAAGAAATGTAACAACTGATACTGTAAATAAAAGAGTTTTGGAAAGTTAATAAGCTTTTGATGATAAATATAAATTTAGAAATGAATTTGTATAACTTAATGAATAGGCATTACTAAAATCTTCTCCTACTCCTTATGTACAGCAATCCTACTATCCATATAGATATGATAGAGTTAATTATGGGGGATATGATCATAGAAACAGATTGGAATTACATAGTAGAGACTTTCATTTAAACTCTAAAATTACAACTGGATATTCAGGGAGATTGGGTTGAATTATCATAAAGGTTTTACAATTTTGGAATTTTATCCATTTTTATATCAAATTATTTTAAGTCAATACTAATCTAATTTTTATATTTTTCTTATTTATATTATACAATCATGTATTAAATAATACCAATTTCAGATACAATAAAGTCTCGATACCCATAACTTAAAGATTATTACTTATGCCAATTTTTGGGAGAAAACTTATAATCAGCTATAATATGTTCTATCTTGCATTATCTTTTGAATCGACGACTAAGCAAAAGTCTAGAATACTTTAAAAGTCCAAGGATAAATTATAAATAATAGTAATCATAAGAAATCGCTAAAATGCTGAAAGATAGTATGTAAATGGAAAATCCAATATAAAACTTCTACGAAAAGCTGTTAATATTTGATAAAGATAACCTTATGACAGAAGTCTTACTTTAAGACTTTTGTTATTCTTATTAATTAACATAGAATGGATAAATTAGTTTGAATTCTTTGGCTGATTTCTTAAATTTGAATATTAAAATCATTCCATAATTCAATATTTTAGGTAGAGGCAATAGTAATTTAATAATAATATAAGATAATGAAGAATATTATTTTATTATTCCAGAACCATAATTCTAGTTAGAAACCTAAGTTATTTGTTTTAATTGCAGTAGAAATGTCTATGTTTTCATGAAACCCTACTGTGATCATTAAATTTGTTGGAATTGTCTCTTAAAAGAGAACTAATAGTGTTAGATGGATGATTTTCGATGTAGGTGTGGATAAGTTGTTTTAAAATAGTAAATTGAACAATTTTAAAATGAAATCAGTTCTATAGCCAAAACCAATCATTTTAATTTATTATTGGAATAATTCTATCATCAGCAGAGTTCTAATTTAGTATTAAGAAAGAGTACAATTCGAACTAGCAAAATAAAATAGCTCAATGAATCTATAGCAGAGTAAATTACTGCAAGTGAAATTTAGGCTTCTTTTCTTAATGAAACAACTAGGGTTTTAGAGCAATTAGAAGAAGTTTGTTGTAAATGTAATAAAGAATCAAACAAACCTTATTTTTATTTGAGTAATTGTACACATAAATATTGTATTGACTGCATTAGTTAAGAGTTCTCATTTAATAATTGTGGAGGATGTTATTGTGTTGCATGTCCAAATAAAATCTCGAGAAAAGAATATGAACAATATTTATAATAGATAAATATTGATAAAAAAAACATCTAAGTATTATCTCTTTAAAAAGGTAATACAAATAATAAGTGTAACAATTGTCATAAAATATTTTCAATATTATTATTTTCAATTGCAAATTGTAAACATAATTTCTGTGATACATGTTTAGAATAATTATTAGATGTTAATTATTTTTTAGATTACTATTGCACTGTTATTAATTGTAATGGTACTTTCAAGAAGTAGGATTATGAAAAGTTTAAACAAGAATTTAGATAATAGGTGTAAATATCATATTCTGAATTAGAAAATTCATGTAATCAGGTTTCATGGGATTTTAATTAATTAAATGAAAGTAAATTGTGCTTGTAATAATTTTGTAACTCATAATCTGAAATTAAACACTAAACTTGCTCAAATTGTAAAAATCCGAATTAAAAAAGTAAAACCATAACTGAAACTAATTCCACAAAAATTACTCTACATGATGAATAAGAAATCAATCTTAATTGGAGTCTTTTAATAGATAGATGCTAATAATGCTTGAAATAATCTTAATATTAATTATTCTAAGTTCCATTATGTAATCACAAATTTTGCAATTCTTGCATTTAGAATTCTATTTAAAATAAATAAAAAGATTAAAAATGTCTATATAAGTAATGTAAAAGTATATTTACTAAAAGATCTTATTAAAATTATTATAATAATTTATTATTAGATAATGAGATCATAAATACTAATAATATTATATAAAATTAATAGTAAATAGTAAATTAAAAATTAATACCATAATCAGATCATCTAAATTAATAATTGTAAAAAAAAAATCAAATAAATCTCACATATAATTTTAATGCATTGGCTAAAAGTTCAACAAATAGTACTACTGATTTATAATATTGCTCATTTTGTAATACTTAGAGTGAAAATGATTAAATATTTGTTATCAAATGCGGACATTAAATTTGTATTAGATGTAGTCTACGTCTAAAAGGTGAAAATTTTAGATGCAGTAAATGCTTGACTCTTTTTGACAATATTAAATTTAAATGGTTTAAATAATAATGTAAACATAAATGTGACAATTGTTAGAAAATCTTTCCTGTTGATTAGATTTTGCCAAATTTAACGTGTAAACATTTCTTTTGTTATTATTGTCTCTAATCAATTTATGAAGATAAAAAGACAATATATTGTTGTGTCAAATCATGCAACAAAATTTTTAATTCTGATCATATTTTGTAATTTTTAAAAGACTTAAAACTTAAAGAAGTAGATCAAAACAAAGATATTCATAATAATGCTTTGTAAATATAAAATAACAATTTCGTGACCAAATAATAGCTCATTTAACCAAATTCTTCATCTAATGCTGTAATTACAACAGCAAGCTTATCTATTTAATCTAATTAGACAAAATATAAAAAGGATGTTCAAGAAATTAAAGAAATTCAATCTTGCATGATTTGCAATTCTGACTTTGATGACTATAATTAGCCAGTACATTTTGCATGTAATTTTCACATTATTGGCATATGTTGCATACTAAAAAATTATCATTTTTGTTATATATGTGATAAATTGAAATGATAATTTTATTATATATATAATGTAGTTTTAATTTATGAAATTTTTTATCCGATTCCTCCTTTGAATAATATATATAATATAATATTTAAATAAAAATATTAAACTAATTTTAATGAGCGAATAAAATTTAATATAGGATGTCTATTTTATAAATCAAATACTGAATAATCCATTTAAAAATAGATGCCAGATCAAAAATATATATCACAATTAGAATTTCTAAATTTAGTAGTATAATCAATTTAATTTTATACTCATTTTATAAATATTGTATTCAAAATATACTTAAAGTAATAAATGAGGTCATCATGTGAAGGAATGAATTTTCATCTAAATATTTAATTTAATTATCTAATATTTTTATGGCATTCTAAGAATCTTTCGAATTATAAGATTGTGTTAGAATTACTAAATAAGCTACAATTGAAATTAATGATGATAAATGCATAAATTAATGGATGAAGGTTTTTCTAAACAAAAATGTTGACATATTTGGCAGAATAACTATTTATTTAAATTATAATATATAATTAAAGTAAAAAGAAATATTTAAATATGGACTCAGTACCTATATGTAAAATTATTTTCTTTCAAAAAAATGCATAAATATTAAAATGTATACATCAAAAAAATTCTTTTGTAAAATATATAGTTAATATTTGGAATCATCGAGATAATATTAAAGACTATATATTCAAAAGGTTTTAAATTAAATTCATCAGATTAGAAATCTAATTTTCAATGCTAATTTAAGAAAATCTACCCAAAATTGAATATAAAGTATAAAGATCAGTCACAAATAAATAGCAAATCATATGCATTAAATTTAGGACATTTAATAAAAAATAGATACATAATTTTTTATAGAAGTATTCTTTTCTACAACAAAAAGAAACTAAAAAATTTAAGTTAATAATAGTAGTATAAAAAAAATATAAAAATATAATCCCATATAATAACTCACATAATTAATAGTTGATAGAGTGTGGCTTGAACTAAATCCCACCAGATATATGATCTAGATACTATTTTTTATATTGCCAGATTATAAAAATAGTGTCTCATGTTTAAAACAAAATGCTAAATCAATATCATTTCATGGACTGTATCTAAATTAAATAATAAATGATAAAATTAGTAAAAAAATATGCTCAAACATACATTTTGCTTATAAGATTATAGACAAGCCAAATTAAACTCCTCCCAAGCTATTATTTATTTCACTGACTCAACTCATAATCAAAGCATTCAGATAGAATCATTACTAGAATTAATAAAAGTGTTAGTTCAAATAATTGTAGTGAAATATTAACAATATATAAAAATAGCCAGTTTAAATTACCTTTTATTATATTAATATTAAATCCGGAAAAAAATATTGTTATTTATCTATCTTCTTACTTTTATTTTAAAAAACAGAAAATTATTAGAAAAGCTAAAGAATATTTTAAGAAATAATTTTCATAAATAATTTCTCGAAATCTAACTAAATAATATTTATCTTAGAAGACTTTAACAAAAAAAATAATACCTTGAATATTTTTATGAAGTAATACATATAATATAAATGACTTACTTAAGATATCAATTTAATAAATTAGTTTAAAGTAGAACTAATTATATTTTGATTCTTCCAAAATTTTAATTTAGTTCAGAATATTAATTCAATCACCTTTCGGATCATGCTCTATTATATGTGAAGTTTAATTTCTTTTAAAAATCTTTAGCAATTCTTTTTTATAAATTTAATAAATTCAGTAAATCCTTATTAAATAACTTGGCATCTTCTAAATTTCTGATATCAATAACTATTATAATTTTTTTTTTAAATGTGAGATTGCATATGTTTATTCAAAAGAATTGGTAAATGGAGGATAAAAGTTTTTAATTATTTTTGAGAGTTTCAAATATAAATTGTAGATTTAACAAATAGTATTTATTGGTAAAGAAAAAATTTATAATTTTTTTTTAAATTTTGAACTATGCCATTTCCAAATACTACAACTTTGGGAACAGTAATTTGAAGATATCCAGAATTCCATCTAAAATAAGAATAATGGTAGAATCAAATTAATCTTTTGGAATAATAGAAAAAGATCCTCAAAAAAAGTTCTAAGTAGATAGTGGTGATTTTTATAAAACAGAAGTAGCCAAGATGTTTTTATTTTAACTATGGAGACACAAATGGAGAAAATGTAAATAAAACAATTTACTAATGACAATTGTTCACCTAAGAGAACACCTTGAAGCTATTCATAAGGGCATCAGTCATTATAACTAAAAAATTTTCTTGTATGCCAATAGAAATTCATGGCAGCCAAAAATTTATCAAAAGACAAATGAAAAATAATGCTAATGCTAAGATGATAAAGGAGACTGTCAAGTATGACCAACATGCCAAAAAAAATCCAGTTTAGCACATCTTATGCTTATTATTATCATAATCATTATTATTTTAATTATATCAAATTCATAATGGATTGTCTTTATGGAACTTTCACGGTATTCTCTTTTTTTTTCCTAGCAAGATGAACCTAATTTTGAGCTTTTCGGAAGTAAAAGTAACGAAATATATTCTGGAGAGGAATAAAATATATTATTTTCAGGTTATTCACTTTATTTCGACAACTAGCATGTTTAAATCAGTTATCCTTTTGATTTGATTTATCAGCAAAACTTTTAATTGAATAATAACCTAAATAATGAAGAAATTCTGTAATGCCCAATTTTATTTTTTAGAGAAAATCCAATTAATCATCCTATTTCAAGAGATATAATTCCCTAATAGCTATAAATTGACTAAAGCTCCCCTATAAATGATACGCAAAGCATATTATTATAGGAAAGTACAAGGAATGATATTTTAGGCTAATAATGGACGTCCTACAAATGAATTTGCATCTGAACGAGTTAATCCTATTTTAAAAGACGAACTATTTTCCAAATCACCCAATGGCCAAAACCCTCTTTCTTAAGACTCACAAAGTATATAAATGATAGAATCAAGATCAAAAGTCTTTTTTTTAGATGATAATGGCTAAATTTTCAATGAATTCTTAAGCATAAACACTAGTTCTTCATGATTATATTTTTATACTTTGTACTATATTTTAATTAAATGAATCAAAAATTAGTCAATGCTTCGATTATGCTCATTTTATAGGATTTATGTAGGTATTGCAAATAGACTAAAAAAAATCCGAGAGATTTGATAAATTGTTATGTTCAACCAAGTAAAAAAGGCATGGATGTTTATGGTTTTTTAGAAATGGTAAAACAAATATTACCTTTTGCTTAAAATGAAATGATTGAAAAAACTTTTTCATTCATACAATAGAGATTTGAATGTCAATAAATAAATGGTTAAATTTTTGAAGAATTGATGAAAAAAATTGAATCTTAAATGACTAATTAAGAATTATTTTAGCAAATAAATTTCAAAACAAATTGTTAGAATGTATCAGAGTAATAAAAGAATATTTAAATTTCTAATTAATCCATTTAAGTCAATTAAATATAGAATTAACATGAAAAAAAACCAATATTTGATTAAAATTTTAAACAATCAGACTATTCGAATAACAATCCTGTACAATTGTTGAAATAAAATATTTCAAATTAAGTTGGTTAAAAATGCAATAGATCTGAAATAGAATTAATTAAAACTTTCAGTACAAAATTAAATAATGCTAATATAAGTATTATTGATGTTTTTAATAAATATGACAACAATAAAGATCATATGATGAATCAATTAGAATTTTAGAAGATGATTCAGATTGTAATTAAAGATATCAATGAATATGAATTAAAAACACTTACTTAATGGGTTTTTAAGGAATAAAACAAAGAATTAACAACTTTTCAATTTAAAAAGATCTGTGAGTTTCAAGAATAAGTTATTCCAGTTGTTCCATAATCTAATATTATGGAATCAAACTATTTTGAAAATCCTGCTAATTAGAAAATACTACAATCTAATTATTAATTCTAAGAATTCTATGTTTCTGATTACAATCTTGTAGCTATGAAAGAATTTGTTTAGAAATATCAATAATTAAAAAGTCAAAATTAATTATATATTGACCCTGTTTTTCCACCAAATTAATAAAGTTTAGGAGCTAGATTCTAGAACTTTTAATGGAAAAGAATACCAGAATTTATATAAAATCCAAAATTCTTTGTCAAAGAAAATACAATTAACAGATTTGGTATAGGTAAATGGATTACACCAGATGATTTATAATAAGGGTAATTAGGAGATTGTTATTTCTTAGCTTCAATTAGTTCATTAGGAAATAGGAGACCTGATTTATTATTAGAAACATTTGTTACTAGAACTTTCAACCCTCAAGGTCTCTATGGTGTCAAATTGTGTATAGATGGTGAATGGAAAGTAATTGGAATAGATGATTATATTCCAACTTACTATAACAAGCCTGCATTTACAAGAGGGAAAGATTAAGAAATATGGGTTATGGTTATAGAAAAGGCTTGGGCTAAAGTATTTGGTTCTTATGAAAATATTGAAGCTGGATATCCTTCAGAAGTCTTAAGAACTTTAACAGGGGCACCAACAAGAATCTTATTTACGAATGATGAGAAATTTATTGAGGATTTGGAAAGTTGTATTAAGAATAGATGTATTATGGTATGTTCATCCAAAAATGAGAATAAACAATAATATAAACTTATGGGATTAATATCTGGTCATGCATATACAGTATTAAAAATTAAAGATGTAAATGCAAATACAAAATTGATAAAACTTAGAAATCCATGGGGAAAAGAAGAATGGAAGGGAGATTGGTCAAATTAAAGCTAAATGTGGACTCCTGAGTAAAAGATACAATTTAAAATAACAAATAATAATGATGGAGTGTTCTACATGAGTATCAAAGATTTTCTTAAATATTTTGATGACTTATCTGTTTGTTATGTGAAAGAAGGATATTAGTATTAGTCTATTATAGTTCAATCAAATAATAAGAAAAGTGAATATTTTAGTATCTAAATTTAAAAGTCTGGATGTTATTATTTTACAATAAATTAAAAGAATGTCAGGTATTTTATTAATTAAAAAAATAAATAGATTTGAGAATAGCAATAACTATTCTCCTACATAGATTTTGTTATTTAAAGGGGATTGTTTAATTAATGGTAATTTTAAGTGTGATAGAGAATGCTGGTTGAGTAGTGATCTTGAATAGGGCTTATATACACTTGTTATCAAGACTTAATGGAAGTTTTCTAAAACGAATAAATATACTTTATCATCATATGGACCTGCCCAAGTCAACATTAATAAGATAAACAAGATTCCTAATTTATTATAATAGGCATTTCTTTAGTTAGCTAGAAAAAGCATCAAAAAGAAGGGTTATTAAAAGCATCCTGAAATTAAGTAAGCCTATGAATTTCATCTTAAATATGGGTATCAATATCTGTAAATAATTAGTTATGGATTTTATTATGTAGAAAATTTAAGTGGTAAGAGTTTTGAAAGCAAAGTAAAATTTTCATAAATGGATGGTTTAAAACTCAGAAAACCTTATAGAGGAAATAATTTAGAGATTAAATTATCAGAGAATCAAGAGTTCTTAGCTTTATTAAGTGTTTCTAATTCTGGTTATGCTTTTGGAGTTGAAGAATAGTATGTTGTAAAATGAATAATCTGATTAAATCCAAATGACCAAATGAATCCTATTATAAACTTAGATTATATTTATCATTTCGATTGAAAATTAAAATATAAATATTATTATGATAAAATCTCTTAAGTGTATTAAATGTTAATTGGAGACAAAAGAGAGTGCATCTTATAAAGCTAAATGTGGACATCTATATTGCAATAAATGTATTGACCAGATAACTGCTGAAGGAGGTTCAAATTGTTCAGAAAAACAATGCTCTTATTTTCTAAACATATCAGATCTCATGAGCAGGCAAATGCAAAAACTAACAGGAAGCAATCAAATGGTATTTGGGAAATAGATTACAATTTTTTAAGGAGATTCTAAAAAAATGAGTATAATAGCTATTTATTATAGCATCACCTTCTTAATAAAATAAAGCAACAGCTATAAAATAAAATAATCAAAATTCAAATACTCCAATAAAATAATAAAAAAATACTCAACCTAGAAGATCATTTTAAGAACGTTCCCCTGTTGTAATTTAAACAAAATCTAAATCTCAAATGCATAAAATAACAGATAAGGTATTACAATAATAAAACAGTACAAAGATTTTTCAACCAAAATAATAACAAACTTAATAAAGATAATAATAATAATAATAACAACAATAATAACAATAATAATAACAACAATAATAATAACAATAATAATAATAATAATAATAATAATAATAATAATAATAATAACCAAAAGTAATTCAATAATAGCAAAATTAATAAATAAAATAATTGATATAACCTAATTAAATATAACCATAAAAATAAGAAATTAATATTGAAGATAGAATGACTGAATCTATCTAATATAAATGTGATTATTGTAATACAAATAATTCTGGATTATTTCATAATGAAATATGTGACCATAGGTTATGTTATGATTGTATCTAAAAGTATTATGAGGACTTCTGTGTCTGTTTTGTTAAGGATTGTGGTTGGTAAATCAATTAGGAATAATTAAACTAATTCATGTTAACTTATGTAACCTTTCAATTAAATGAAGTTGAAGAAATCAAATTAAAAAGACAGCAGTCTTCATCTGATCAATAAGATATTCTAATTAGCAAATTTTAATTTGAAGAAGTCACTTTATAACATATGTAAATCTCAAATATGAATGAATTCATAAAAACTTTTGATGAACTCAAAATTAACGAAAAAAATTATATTGATCTCAGGTTTGGTCCAAATGAAAAAAGTGTTGGGTCCAATTACACTGTCACATGGTAGAGATTGAACGTTATTTTTAATGGAGATTATTAATTTTTTGCAAAATCAAATGATAATAAAAGGTTTGGATTAGGAAAGTACATTGGACCACAAGATATAATATAAGGGTAATTAGGAAATTGTTATTTGTTGGCTTCAATCTCTGCATTGGGAAATAGAAGACCTGATTTATTATTAGATACTTTTATAACAAGAGCAATAAATGAATAAGGAATATATTGTATAAGATTATGTATTGATGGTATATGGAAGGCCATATATGTTGATGATTATTTCCCAGTATATCCTAATTTAACTCCCATTTTTACTAAAGCTAAAAATAATGCCATATGGGTTATGGTATTGGAAAAAACTTGGGCAAAATTATTTGGATCTTATCAAAATAGCGCATCAGGTTCTATGTAAGAAGTGCTAAGAGCTTTAACTGGGGCACCAACAGAAGTTATATGGACTCAATCTGCAGAATTTATTGCTTAACTTCGAAAATGCCTTGACAATAAAGTGATTATGGTTGCAGCTACTCAGAGTAGTGACATTCAACCAATTACATAAGGATTGGTTCCAAATCATGCCTATTCTGTTCTTAAAATCAAATAAATAAATCATCCAAAAAGAGGATAAGTGGAATTGTTGAAATTAAGAAATCCATGGGGAAGAAAGGAGTGGACAGGAGATTGGGGATAAGATAGTCCATTATGGACTCCATAATTAAGATAGGAATTAAAGTTAGATATAGAAGATTCAGGTGTATTTTATATGGATATTGGATCATTCATGCAATAATTTAGAGATATCCATATTTGTCATGTCAAATAAAATTATTAATATTCTGCAACTTAAATAAAATCCAATAAAAAAAAGGCTGTATACTATTCTTTTAAAATTACAAGGGAAGGAGATTATTACATTACTATAAATTAAAGAAATCAAAGATGGGCAGGTAATCCTAAATATAGTAATGCAAAATTACTTATTTGTAAAAAAGAAGAAAACAATACATATACATATATAGCTGGTAAACTTAGTTAATTTGGTGAAGTATGGTGTAAATGTACTTTAACAAAGGGGGAATATATAGTTTTTGCTAAAGTTTTTTGGGAATATCATTAAGAATTTTTCTTTGTTCTTTCTTCTTATGGTTTAGAAAAATTAGAATTCAAATAAATTAAAAAAGTTCAAGAAATGTTCTCAAGTGTTTTCATTAAAAAAGGATTTCTTTAATAACCAAAACGAAGTTATGACACAATGGGATAACCAAAGATACAAAGTTGTTATAATTTAGATAGACTGGATGGTTGGGGTTATTATTTTATTGACAACTAATCAAATGTTAAATTAATTAGTAAAATATCCTTCCATAAATTTTATGGATTACGATTTTGTAAACCTCATAGAGGAGTCACACTCAATATTGAATTGCCCCCTGGGAAATAATTTATAGCTGTAATCAAAGTGTTATCAGGATATGAAATAGAATTTACTCAAAAGGTTCAATTTCAACAATGATGCTTATATTTAGTTTTTGTAATTTAGTATAATTAATTTGTAAAAATATTATTAATGTAAAACTAATTAAAAAGTCATTATTATTCCTCAACAGATTCTATTTCTGTAGTAATCCCAGTATTCAAAAGATAGACCTCTTATTTAGTATCTTCTCCATTTTCTAAATGTATGTTGTAATCAATTTTATACAGAAAAAATTAAGAAATTATTGATATCGCAGTTTAAATATGGAATTTTTAATTCATCTAATTATTTCATTAATTCATAAGAAAAATATTTAAGAGTCAATTAATCTAAACTCACAAATTTAATCAATCCAAATTTTATATCAACTTCTTAAATTGCTCTAATATTTAATAAAACAAATTACAAAAGAATAGCTCTTATAAAAATTTCAGCATGAAATTATTTTGGTATTTAAAATTTGGTGCGTTCTATTCAGTAAATGATATAGTCTTATGTCCTTTCTATTGTAAACAAATTTTATAGACATTGAATATTTGTAGTAAATCTTTGGCATCCTATGTTTAAAGAATATTGTATTACTTAATAAAATGGCTATCTTACATGAAAGATTTGAACAGAATTGATATTTTCTGCGCTTGTTATTATTAAATCTCCAATATTCACTATTATTATAGAGTAACATTAATATTTTGTTAGATAAGCTCATTTGCTTTTTTATTTTTACCCCCAACCAACAGATAATTATCTTAATTACCGTTTTGATGTATAAGACCGGTCTAGTTCATGAGAAGAATTCACTAATAAAGAGTTTAAAATTTACCTACAACATCTACTAATTCTTCTACAATATCAGCTTATACTATTTAAATAGTTGTTCAATTAATAGTTCTTGTATTTATAACTTTTGATTCAGATTATAAGCTATGTTTTTATCTTCTTCTATTCCATAAATATCTAATTAAAAATTTAATAATACTGTTTCCCACTCTAAATTTATATTTATTAATTATTTAAGAACATTAATTTATTCATATTATTATATGATATTTAGAGTACTATAGAGATATGATAAGAATATATAAACTTATTTTTATCTTTAAAGAATAAGAAAATTAAAAATAAATTCATTATTAATTAGATATATTATCATTAATCGTCAAATTTCTATTTGGAAAAAATAATTCCAATAGTTCAAATCTCATTTGTGTCATGATTTTATATCTTATATTTTCATCCAACTATAATTAGCTTAAATAATTAGCAGCTATGCATGCATAATATCCACAACTTGTACCATCCCACTATTTTAGAAAATTCTATTTTTTTTCTACTTAAAATTAAAAATTCATGTCTTTAGTAAGAGCTTAAAATACTGTATTAAAAAAGAATACTACTTATGAAGATAGATGTGTGAATTAAGAATCATATAAAACAAGCAATCTATCATCTACTTTCACTTCGATAAATTACCAATGAAAATTTGAACTATTAACTACAAATCCAATCTTTTAATATATCCGCCAAAATTTGTATTAGATGGCACTAAATTATTTAATCTGTTCTAAAAAAAGACATAAAAATTTCGATTTAATAAATTCTTATTTTTTAGGTTCTTATTATCTTAATATGCAATTAGTTATGAGAGATGAAGGAAATAAAATTAGTCTTTTATATTATTTTCTTTTACTAGGAGGCAAGGAGAAATAATTAATTTCATCTTGAATTTATAAATAGTTCATATATCCATCTATAATATTGGTATTTAGCATCATTTTAGGATTATTTAGTATACGAAATTCTGGATCAGATATATTTTGGTTATATTTATAATTATCTTTCTCATCTTTGAACTTTAAAAAATATGAAAATCTTTCTTGAACTATTTCTTATTTGTCTTAATAGGTTATTATCTAAAATTATTTTAAATGCATAATATTTTTATTATTAAATTTGATTGTATCAATTTATATTGTTTTCTTAAATAAATTGGATTATTCATAAAAATCTAGATCACCTTAATTGATGAATTTGATGTTATTCTTGGATTATATAAATATTTCATCTTCAATTGGTATATAATGATATTCCAATAAATATTCATTAGGTTCAATATTTTATTATTGTAAATCTTAAATGTAAATTTGATATTCTGAATTAATATATTCTATGTAGTTTTCAGAAATCTCAATCTACTTTTCAGAAATCTCAATCTACTTTTCAGAAATTTCAATCTACTTTTAATTTTATTATTAAATTGCTTATTATATGTTCTCTTCGAATAGTTTCAAATATATTTATTTAATTTCAAGTTATAAACCACAGAAATTTCTATATAAATAAGATTACTTCAATCTCTAAATTTCATCTGAATTATCTTTATTATCTTCACATTTCATTTATTTATAATAATAAAAATTATAAAAAAATAAAATAAAATTCAATACATTTTCTAAATTCATTTTCCTTTCTTCAATTTCTTATAAAACAGAATGCTCTTTAAATTCTATTTCATATCTGTCTTATTTTTATAATTAACTATATTCGATAAGTTACTAATATATTCAAGAGCTATACAAGTATATTAACCACATGAATAAGCATCAGATTAATTTAAAAAATTAGATTTAACATAAATTTTGAATTTATATTAGTCTTATCGAATGTTTTATTATTGTAATTGATTCTTTTGAAGTTCATAAAATAAATATGATAACAAGTCTCCCACCATATCATAATGTTGATGGTTTCCCTTTAAAGAATCATATACAAAGATATATCTCTCTGTTACATTTACAGTAATCATATACCAATGAGAATTATTTTTATTTATAATAAATGCAATATTTTGATAAATAAGCCAAAATTAATATTGTATTGTTTTAAAAGATTCTAATTTTTCTAACATTAATAATAACCATTTTTCTTTGAAAGGTTAAGAATTTAAATTACAATTAGTAATAAAATCAGATGTAAATATAAATAGTCTCTTATAGCATTCTCTTAATGATTTTGATAATCTATAGTATTTTTTTTCATCCTAACCAAATAAATAATTAGCATATCCATCAATCATGGAACTTGTCCAAAATTTGCCTGTTTCATTAAGCAATTATTCTTCTTTTCTCCCAATACATTAATTTAACTTGACAAAAGGATATTGGGAATGTTTCTAAAAAATTAATATCTGTTCTTATTCATTTGTTTATTCTAATTTATTTGTTTATTCTAATTTATTTCTTTATACTAATTTATTTATTTATTCTAATTTATTTATTTATTCTAATTTATTTATTTATTCTAATTCATTTTCATTAAATAGATCCTCCTCATAACGAATGGTAGCTTTTTATATCATTTTATCTTCATCTATATATTTCGTATGAAACATCTCTAATATCATAACAGCCTAGTTTTAATTATTATATTCAAAGATTTAGTCTTATTTTATACAACTACAATTTACAACAGATTTACATAAAGTATTTGCATCTTAAATATTCTTTTTAATTTTTTTCTCTTAATTAGTTCTCCAATTCTATAAATCCTATTAAAAATCATCATATATATAATTTTTTATATTTTCATTTTTTTATTCTTGTTAAATTAAACAATACATAGTTTAAATCTGCTTTTATTTTGGTTTATAATCAATATAAGGTAGTTGAATTTTAGTAGTTGTAGGATTGTAATTATTTGTTTTGCAGTCAATTTAATTTTAATTCTATTACTATATTTTGTTAACTTAACACTTATCATTTTATTCATCATGACCCCCATAGGATATAATATATTTTTTATATGGAACTTACAAATATGTCAATAATAGAGATAATTTTTTATTTATATAATCTAAAAATTCAGATTATTATGTTTCAATAACTTAAAGTGGTTTTTAATATGTTTTAAAAGCTTATCCAATTTAAGATGGTTATTAAACTTTTTAATATTCATTTTCTGATATTTCAACTATTTTAAATAATTTTCTATGCTACATCAATAATAATTATTTTATTTTATAAATCTAGTATTTCATAAATATTTCTACTTAATATCAATTATTGTAATAGATCTTTTAAAATACTTAAAAATTCATTAAATTAATAAATATTAAACTCATTAATCATCATCATCATCACTGCTGTTATTTTTATCCATTAAAGAACGCATATATGTATCTATTGGTACTACCTTTCTTGGAATCTCTTCATCTTTTAATTTATTCATTAGTGATGGGTTTCTTTCTGCTTTTACCATACTTGAAGTTTGAGGTGTCATAAATCCTCTAAAAGCCCAATGAATTTTAAAATAATAAGGATGAGTTTCAGATAATCTTAGATCCTAAAATTTATTATTAAAATAATACATGATCTGGAATCATATGCTAAAAAACACATAAGGGTTATTAATCTATAAATTCACATATATATTCTGCATATTAGAATAATGATTTTCCATAATCTCCATACTTAAATAGAACATTATCTAAAAGTGCTGCCTTCTTATGAACTTTCTAATGAGTAGTTGCATGTTATTTGAATTATGAATACCATCTATAATAATTTCAATATTCATATTACCTTCTAGCCTCTTAATGAGTTTTAAAGACTAAGGCAACTTTTTAAATTCTCTCTTTTCCTGTTTTTTCATATAAATCAAATCTTGCTGATTAAACATCAGTTTCAGGTGGTTTTGTAGGAATATGCTACTCAATATAGCTTCGTCCTTCTTCCGAAATAATATGACTATTCATTACACAATCCATTATAGTTTCTGCTAATTCATCTATTTCCATTGACATTTTTATTATTATTCCAAATTTTTTGTTGTTTCTCTTAATATTTCATTACCAAATATTACAATGACAATATAATATATAAATTATAAAATCAATTATTTTTTACAAATTTATGATTGTACATATAATATTATTTAATATAATATAAAATATAATTTACATAACTTCACAAAGGTTGAGTCTATTATTTTTCTTAATATTCTTTTATTTATTAGTTTTGCCACTCAATATTAGGATCATACTTATAAAAAGGATGAGTTGTCTATATTTAAATAGAATATATTTACCTTTGCTTATGGATATTCTTACAAGAATTGTAAATCTTCTGATTCAAGATTCTCTTCAAATGGTTTTTCTTGAATAATTCTTTCACAATGTAACTCTATTAATAATAAATTTAATTTACTTATTGTTTAATCTAATTATGTCTTTATTTAAATATTATTCCAAAATTATGTATCAAATTGTATCAAGTCTGTCTAATATTCTTTAATGTATGGTAATAGTGTTCCTTAATATTTATTTACTAAATTTATTATTTAATAGTCTTACAAAACTATATTAACAATAATTAATATTTGTGATTTACAATACGATTCTATTCAGTTTCATTGTTTCTCAATTTGTTTAATAATTTAGCACATAATAAAGGTCTTTATTAATTTATGTATAAACAAACTATTTATTTAAATGCTTAAAAATTAACTTCCTTGTTATTTAAATTAGTATGAATTAAGACTTAAGCAAATCTATTTTACATTTTAATAATGTCTTCTGATGTTTTTAATTGATTTAAAAGTTATTCTCCTGATAGATCAAATTTTCTTTATATTTCTCTATTAAAAATATGTCCTTCTATTGAAAACTATTCTCTTATGGTTTTTTCTTCTTACTCTTTTTATAGCTACTTTGCTAACATTTTTTTCTCTTTTGGTGTTAATTTCTTTTACTCTAATTTTTTCTATTCTTAAACTTTTAATTTAAGTCTTTCTAAACCTTCAATCATCAATCCTGCAGATTAAATAAAATATTTAGTATCATATCTCTTATCTATAGCATCTATCATTTATAATAAAGATCTTAATGTATATCTTCTTATTGAATATTGATAAAAATCTAATTAATCATCACACATTTCTTAAAACTGTTTAAATATTAAATTAAATTACTATAAAGCAGGACCAAGATAATTCAATCTTAATAATGTTCTTCCAATATTGAGTTCAAACCAAATCATTTATAATTCATATGGATCTGATCCATCTTTTAAAAAGAGACTTAATAAATCTTATGATAAAACTATCATATTTGCTTGTAAAGCATATTTAATTGTCTAATTATTTAAATATCTATCTGCTAAATCTAGTTATCTTGCTCTATCAGCCTATTCATAAGCTTCTTTAAATTATTGTAATTTTTTAAGAACTTTTGCTTTAATCAAGTATAACTCAGGTAATGTAGTAGTATGTTCTATAGCTTGATTAATAAATTCAAGAGATTTATTGTAATCTTTAATTTAATAGAAATGTTATGATAACAACATCATAGCCCAAAGTTATTCAATTGGACTTTTATTAAGATAAGTTTCAAAGGATGTTTTCATAATTTCAATCTTGTTAGGATCAGTGTATAGATGTTTAATTTCTCTGAATAAAGAAGGTAAAGATTTCTAAAAAAATGGATCAATAAATTAAAGGAAACTATTTTAAAATGATTCTTTTTCTTTTTATGCAAGTAATCTTCCTTTTACTAGAGTATTATCATAGATTGATAAATCTACTTAGGGATCTGCCTTTTATAACATTTAATAGTATTTCCAATTTTAAGGTTATAATTCAAGCAATTATTTAACTGATTGAATTGCATTTACATTATCTCCAATTTTAATATAGAAATCATATTCAAGTTCATAAAATGAAACTAAATCAGTAATATCACTAAAATTATTAATATAATGAAATTACTTTTTAAAATCATGTAAATATTGTTTAGCTCTTTGAAAGTCTTTAGCTTCAATAGCTAATTAGATTTAATATAATTTAAATTCATTGATTTCAACTTTTTTGATAGGATTTTACGTATCCTTTTTAATTACATCTTCAGTCAATTTGATAGCATTAAAAGCACTTGCATAATTGGATACTAAATGTTGACTAAAAATAAATGCAATCCAATTGACTACCATACCTGGTTTACTATTTAATAGTTTTTGTCTTAGCCAACTATTTCCTTCAAAATCTCTAATATGAATAGATAGATTAGCAGTATCTCTTATTAATTAAAGATTTTCTTCTCCTTTATTGATTGCTTATATAAAACATTTGACTGCTTAAATATAATTCTTTTCAGCTTTTTAGATTAAACCATATATGTGCCAACAAAAATCAGATGCTAAATTCTTAAGAACAGCCTAATATGCTAAGGCAAGACCTGCTTCACGCTCTTCATTGTAATACATGAAAATTGCTTTAAGTGAAACAACTTCCTAATTATCTGGTACTTATTCTAATAATTTTTCTGAATGTTTCAATCCTTTTTTATAATCTTTAGCTTCTAATAATCTCTTAAAGATATATAGATATATATAATACCATTAATGATTTAAATTCATTGTTTTGTTTTGTATTTAATTCTGTTTATTTCATATATGGTTTAATTATATTATATGAATAGTTAATTTAATTAGAAAATGAATATTCAGTATAGAAATTTATATATATATATTATTATTTAATTTAAATTTTTGTATATGAATTAAAGCACTTTAATAGAAGACTTAAATGGATCTAATGTTTCAAGATTATTAAAATAAATAAAAGAAAGTAATAATAAATTATATGATAGTCACTTAGGATGAATTATATGAGGAAATGACATAATTGAAAACAAGAGTGTTAGGATTATTAAAGGATTACCAATCATCTTTATAATAAAAAGAGAATATTAGACAATTAAATCAATAAATACGTAAGGATGTAACAAACATCAGCAATGATTATAGTTAAATTATTGAAAAGATGAACTAGAGTGTTGATTGCACATTTATATCGATTGAGAGTATAACACCATTTTAAAAGAATGAAAAAGTAACAATTTATAAATTTATAAGGAAATGAATAAAATGTTTAATTTGGTTGAAGAGTTTCTTGAAAAATTTTAAGGAAAAAAAGCAAATTATAATTTATATACTAGTTTTATTTCAGATAAAATGGAACGATCTGGAATATCTATGGCAGATACTAGTATTATAGATGTTAACTGTAGAATATCAATTATAAAGGATTAAATATCTTCTAATTTATCTGATAAAAAATATAGTTAATTAGTTATAATGGAAACTGTGGATGCTTTATAAGAAGCATTAAATTCATAAAAAATAGAAAAGATAAGATCTATAATAAAAAGAATAGAACATTATATGGCTTAATGTTAACATGATCCTACTGATTTATATTAAATGTTATAAAAAGCAGTTGAATCTTGTAAAGAGAAAGAAATAGAATTATAAAATTAATCTATAATAGAAGATAAAGATATTAAAAGAAGGTTTTTTGATTTAGCATTAGAAATTAAAAGTGAATTACCTATAAATCATCCTGGTAGAAAAGTATTGGTTTCAGTTCTCTTTGAAAAAGCATAGAATATAGAGGAATCTTAATGGCATGATTGGATTCTTGATTAATTAAGTTAACAAAATTGATAAATAACTATTTTAATTATTTCAGGTGTAACTTTTAATAAAACTCAAAGTTTCATTTAATTATTAGCTATAATGATGTTTTTTCTCTCTAATTTTTAGTATTAAATCTGTAACAGGATGCATTTATGAAATTGATTTAATAATTACAGTTTATCCTTTATCCATAGGTTATTCATCAATAATCATTTAAATTTCATAATCACCATTTTCATCTTAATCAATAATTTTTTAAGCATCTTCAGCAGATGATAATATTTCTACATCATCTTTTTTATTAATAATTGTTAATAATTGAGTTGATTTATTTTTACTAGAATTAGATGCTAATAATATAATAATATATTATTACATAAAGAATCATTCTTTCTATGAATTGCTTATGTAATTATAGCTTAATTTTTTTTGTATTTTCTTAAACCATCTAAATCATGAAAACTTGTTTTACGTATTTAAGTTTCTATTTAATTTTATTTATATACCATTTTATGTATGTATATCATCAGATAAAAATCTATCTCTACGAAAAGATTTAAATTCATTAACTGATTCTTTTTCCATTTATTCAATTGGATCAAAGTTTTATAAATATGCAACGTTTACTGTCATTTTATTTGATAATTAAATTTGTAATGTAGCTATTAAATTAGGATCAATCCAATCTGTACTTTTATTTTCATTCAAATGAATGATATGATCTATTTCATTATCTTACTTTTATTATAATGGTGTTAATTATGTTAATTCAATGCATTTTTCAAAAAATTACTAAGAATTCTCGTTTATCTATTGTAAATTACACAAAATATTCCATTCCTCTACTAAATAAGGTTTCAATTATTTTTTCAAATAAAATTGAATTGCTAAATTATTTTCCCCATTAGAATTCCATCTCTTTCTAATTAAATTACATTCAAGATTAAAATTCATATCCACCTTATTTTTATATCTCTTTTACAAAATACATTTAGCTATTTGTTATGCAATATCAAGACAATTTAATATGCTCATTGAATTTATAATATTATTTCAAAATGACTCATTATTATTATTATATATTATAACAATATTCACTCACTCCTATTAAGAAATCTTCTCTATCAAATTCTCTATTACAGGCCTAAGCCATAAATCAATATCCTCTGATTTTTTGAGTTTCATAAGTTCCAAATTCCCATCATTTTCTGAATATACCACCTTTAAACATTTATCTGAATTGATATCAATAGATATAAGGGTTTCTTAATTAAATATTATTCTTACTTAAATGAACACAAATATTCTTTTGAGGACATATGAATTATAATTCACTATTTTAAGTATTAAAAGATAGAATATAATCAACAAAGCGACCCATATCTTTAACACTAGCTTATACAGATAATTTTTAAGATTTAGTTTCAGAAATTCCAACATAATTATTCTTAAATCCTTTTGTTTCAGAGTTTCTAAATCTGATCTTTGATTTTGTCACTTCAATCGATTACTTTTTATTTAAGATTTTCTCCATTATACGATCAACCTATTTTTCTAATTCAGTCAATTCTTCAACTCTAACAAGATCTATACAAGTTTCAATTAACTATAATGATATTTTAATGACAATGTACATTTAAGAATCTAACTAAAAAATATTTTACTATCTTTGTAAAATAAATGAAGAATCTATTTGTATACTCATCCATTTCCAATTTTTCAAATACTCCATATATTAATGAATGCCATCTTGAATGTGGTAGCATAATATAAAATTTTATAAAAAAAGGAGCAAAGTATCCAAAAGGAATAAGTTCTAAAAACAACATCAATACAGGTTCAAATTAAATAAAAGTATAAAGTAAAAACCTTATTTAAATAACTATTTAATACCATTTAATTAAAAGAGCATCTCCTTCTTGAACATTTTATTTTTTGAATGCTTCACATGTTTTCCAAGTTAATTGAAATCCACAATAGACACTCAAGATAATTTAAAACACTTTACTTCATTATTTTGGCTCCATATACAATTATAGACATTAATTTTAATTAGGAATTATTTTTTATTATTATTTGAGTTCTTTATATTTAAAATAAAAAGTATATGGAGAGATCCTATTAAACATTTGAATAAATCAGAATTAATGAAAAAAAAACAATAATTATAATTAGATATTTTTTTAAACTAATAAGATTAAAGAATAATCTTATAATATAAGTAAATCTTTATAGAGTAGATAACTCTTTTTAGTAATTAAAGTAATTTATTTATATCATTTATATTTCCTTATTAAATTAGTATTTCTATTATATCTTAAAATCTTTTTTATTATTGTATATACAAGATACTTTAGTTATTGTTTTATTACATAATCTTTAAACAAATATTCAAAATTTATAAATCAGAATTATAATTGATATTATGTATAAATTTAATAAATTTAATAAATTTGGATATATTATTATATTCTCAATCTAAATATAATAATGATTAACTAAAATATATGATATTTTATCATTTGATATTTTATAAGTAACCAACAATTTCATCACATACTAAATAACCCTCTGGAATTTTTAATTTGATATTATCTTCACTGATAATAAAGTATTCCTCAAACTTTTTCATAGCTTCCAATAAAGATTATGATAATAAGGCTCTATCTATACCCCACTTAGTTCTTAATCTACTCATTAATAATATTCTTTATTTTTCAAATTGAGAACTTTCATCCTCAATTAAACAACCTTCTCCAGATTCTACAAACTGATAATATTTTTTCAATGTATTTGGTCTAGTTATCCTAATTAAATTTTAAAGAGAAGTTGCACCCATTCCAAATCCATAAAAATTGCTATTTCCATGCCAATAATTTCTATTGTGTTAACTTATATGCTTTTCTGATTTTGCAAAATTAGATATTTCATAATGATCATATTATTATAGAATTTGATGTACTTTTGTGTAATTGCATGTTTGAATTTCAATATTAGGAAGAGGATGTATACCTTCTCTATAATTCAATTTTTTATAAAAATAAGATTCTTCTTCTATGCTTAATGAATATGCAGAAATATGTCCTGGTTTAAATTGTTCAACAAACCATTTTAAATCTTCAAGTGAACTTTGTCCAACTTCTGTAGGTAAATTATAAAGAAAATCAAAAGAACAATTATCAAATGTTCCATAAACTTTTTCAATCATTCCAAGTGCATCATCTATATCTTTTCTTTAATGACTTCTATTTAATCTTTGTAAAGTCTCATCTTATAATGATTAAATACCTACAGAGAGACGATTAAACTATATAATTTATTTATAGAATACCCCTAAAGTTTTAAATCCTTAAAGTTTATCTTCATTGAATGTTTTCGGATCTGCTTCAATAGTTATTTCTGTATTTGATTATTTCTTAAAGCAATTCAATATTAACTTTTTTCAAAATTTTAGATACTTGCAAACTCTCTAATGAGAGAAGAGAAGGTGTTCCTCCTCCAAAATATATTGTTTTTAAAGGTTCTCCTTAATAATGTTTTTGAATATCCTTAATCAAATATCCAATATATTATTTCTCCAAACATTGTTTATAATAGTTTTAATTTACTTCTGTCTATCCAACTACATGAACAGGAAAGGCACAGTAAAAACATCTTTTTAAACAAAATGGAATATGTATATAAGCACTCATTCAAATAAATTAATTGTCATCACAAATTATTATTATAATCAAATTAAGAGAATATTTAGATCAAAATTATATCTATTGTTTATGGAATAATTAATTAATTAAACAATTCATTTCATAATCACAAATCAATTTGAAGTAAACTTATCAAAATATATTACTTACTTATCTTTATTCAAAAATACTCAAAATTTGAGATTAGTAATAAATAACATAGTTTATGCTTTTAATTATATTATAATATATGATAATTGATTTTTTATTTGATTTATAATATGTTTTTGATGAAAAAACTCAGATATATATTTAATTTATTTAAATAAATAGATTGTGGATTTGTATCTACAAATAAAATTATCTTCATTTAAAATAAAGAAGGAAATTTAAATTGTAAATATAAAATATGTTAAGAATAAAATATTATAAAATTTTATTTTAAATAATATAAAATTGATTTCGAATTTAAAATTTTGTACATAAAGTAATAAGATAAGATATAAGAGAAGAATAGATTTATTAAGTCGTTCTTTGAAGTAAATAAATCTTTTAGGATTATCTATAATGAATGTGATATAGAAGAATATATTTAGTAAAAAGCTTTTTCATGTTAATTTTCTAAAGAATTTATATTTGCATCAAAATAGAATAGATTAGAAAAGATGTAAAATTTTTTAATAACTCATCCTTATTTAGTATTTTAATATGATTATTATAATATGACTGCTCTTCATTGGGCATGTAAATATGGATATTTAGATATGGTAAGAATGTTATTAGATTATCATACAGACTTTGATGCATTAAATTTAATGAATAGGACTCCATTTAGTATAGCAATAATAAAAAATCATTAAGAGATAGTTAAATTATTGCTTACTAATGGTTCTTATCCTTGGAGTACTAATTTAACAGATTTAAATAGTCCTTTATAATTAAATCAAGAGATAAAGAATATTGTTGAGTAAGCAAGAAAAATATAATAAATGGAGCAGAATAAAATAGACTACTTTTTGTATTTATTGATAAGTAATCATTTTTTGTAGTAATCGTCACATAATTTGTTAAAGTCAGTTAACCATTTAGTTAAAAATTTATCTCCATAATCAAAGAATAATTCTTCTCCAATTGATATATTCTTAGTAGTGAACCTAGTAATAATATGAGTAAATTTATACATAGCAATTCTCCATCTACCTTCAGAGAATAAAATTTAAGCTTAACAATTAGCTAAATCTGATTTCTTTGTAGCATGATTAATATATCTCAAACAATTACTATAATAGGTTCCATCTACTTACCATTTATCATCAACTTCAAATAAGTAATGATTATTAGTAATCCAATCACATTCTAAAATATAATTATTAAAATTACATTCAATAGCCATACTTTCATCATCTAATAATATATAATTTCCTGTATATTCACCTACAAAATCACATACTTTAAAATTTTAAGCTGCAAATAATCCAAGTCCATTACATATTAATGATTTACCTAAAACAAGTTATTTTCTAGTCTAAAGTAATAGATTCTTATTTGAACATGATTAACATTTACATAATTAAGGATCACATTCATATCCACTAATATAACAAGGACATGAATGTTTTTATTTTTTTTCATCATAACCACATACTCTACAATCACATGATTTACCTTTCTATTAACATTAACCTTTACAACAACAATATTTATGACATGTAACACAAGTACAAGAATTAGATCCACATTCTCCTTCATGAAAACATGGTATATATTATTAAGCATAATTATTTAAATTTTATTTTTTTGATGCTTATTATTATTTACGTTTTCCATTTGTTATATGTTTTTTACTTTAACTTTTTAAAGTTTTTATTAAATAATTAATTTATTAACAAGATATAGGATAAATTCTATGAGTTAATACTTTTGCCATAAAACAACAATTACTAAATCCAAATTCTAACATTTATTCTATTGATTTTTATTAAAACTTTTTCATTTTCATTTAATCAATACCATATTTTCCACATTATGTAATATCTCTACATCTTTATTCCATTTCCATTTTATTATTTAATTTATATCTACCAAATATTTCTCTTAATAATAAAGAATTTGGTTTAAATTCAGTCTCATAAAAATTATCATGATGAGTAGGATCATCTTTTTATTAATCTTAAGGTTCTTCTTCTGGTTCTTTCTCAATATATAATCTTTGATTTTTTGAACTAAAATATATTAATATTATTATATATACTGATAATGTAAACTACATAGATATAAATTACAAATTGGACAAAAATATCGATTGAATCTTACAAATTGATATTTTACATTAAAATTTACAAATTAATCATATTTTTTTGCTTATTTAGCTAAATAATATGATTAAATTTAATCTGCTGAACAACCTATTGCTTAAGCTAATTGTTGCAATTAAAAAACAACTTATAATGAATTAAATCTGTCTTTGAATTTCTCAAAAAAAAAATCTATAAATAATTTATGTTCCATTCTCAAATAATGTTTGCTATCATCAATACTCTTAGCCAATCCTTATTCTAAATTTTATACATGTTCTTCTATTTCCTCTGTTAATTTTGTTGGAATAGATAAAGGAGCTATATTAAAATATAACTAAAATTCTACTTAAACGTTCTAAAAGTACTGGAGTAGGATGTTGTAATCTAATATTACCTGGCATACTTTTATAGTAATTAGTCCTAATTGGTAAATTGTCTCTATTTCTTTTAACTTTTATATCAATTTCATAAGCTTCAGTCCTTATCACATTTACTTTGATTTCTCTCTAGATTTGACCTTCATTTTATAGTAATGTCGATTGTAGATGTTGAACATACCTTTTATAGAGAGTATACTCCTCTAATATTTATTCTTTTGTCATTTAGGTACTTTTCATTTTACTTCAAAAAAAAATGAATAAATTATTCTCACTCAAATTTATGGTCGAAATTTGTTATATAAATAAAAATGTAATTTTTGGAGATTTGAACAAATATTTATCAACTTTTAAAAAACTCTGAAAATTTATCAAATTACTTAAACATCTCATACTGTTCATCCTACTCAAATAATTATTATAATGGTTTATAAAAATCTTAAGGTTCCTTATTTAATCTTCTTAATCTAGTATTTTATGCTAATGTTTAAACATTAAAAGCATTTATCTATAATTTAATATATATATTACTTTAAGAACTTAATTGATTAAAAATATATGATTTTTACTATTGATTATTCTTTTACCATAAGATTCTATAAATAATTTCTATCTTCTTATTACCATATCATTTATTAAATTTAAACATTGTTCATCATACCATGACCATGCTTTTTAATTTAATTAAGATATATTTTCAACTGTTCTAAATAATGGCAATTGATTTTTTAACATATAACTTAATTATATATTAGACAACTTTAATTCTGTAATTAATTAATGTATATTTTCATCATCTTAATGAAATTACAACCAATTTAATATATTTCTCATATTACCTTTCATAAATAAGGTAAGTATGAAAATATCTGAATAATTTAAATTTATTTCTATATTTTTAATCTTTATATAAGGTTTCTATATTGTAAAATTATTAAAAAACCCTCCTTATTCTTTTATATTTTCATAGATCACTTTCTTTTTTAACTCAACATTTATGATATCTAATTATCCTTTGTAATTTTGTTCAATTAACAATATTAAATATATGTATTTGACTATTTCATCATGTGAATATTGCACTAGTTCAAAGTTATCGAATAGTTCGTGATTCTACTAATAGTCTGCAATTATGAAGACTCGATACCTGTAATCCATATAAAGGGCACTCGCTAAATCTATAACATTCTGGAATTGATGAATTTTGGAAGTGTTCCTCTGTGAACTATTATCTTCTTCTTGTTTCCAAATTCAGTATCTTCTTATTCTTAAGTAAATTTGATATGTTGACTTGCAAACATCTCTTCAAATTCTCTTTTCTCTGTATAATTGTAAGTCAACAAAACATCAATTTTGTATGCTCTGGCTATAGCCAATATTGTACTCATCTTTCCACTTGCTCCATATATATTTAACATCTAATAATTCCAATTTTAATTGTTTATTGAATTCGATTATGAATACCATGACTCTGATTAATCTACTTAATCTTATGCCAATATAGAAAAGGAATTCTTTAACCAATGTTTAAGAAATTATGTATTTTCTTAACTAATTAACTAAATTAGATATCAAATTACATCATCAATATGATCAGGAGTATAAATATCACTCCAAATATCTGACATTTTTGTTATATTTAAATACAATATTGAACTTAGCATATTTCCAATTTAATCTAAATTTTATATTTTTGTTAATTATTGAACTAATTATCCAAAATTAAACTCTTTCATTATCTCATTTCTATATTTTTATAACACTCTTCTTAATTGAAAACCTACTGATCCTATTAAAGGACATTTAATAAATTATTTTTATTTTTCTTTTATCTCTTTCCTCTCTTTCTTATTTCCATTATTGAAGAAATTTTAGATGTTTTAGTTGTTTTATACATTTCTCTTAGGTGGCATTTCCTATACACAAATTTTTACGCGCAAATAAGAATATTTTAATTATCAATAATAAAAAGATAAATATTGCCAATATTTTATACTTCATTCATACAAAACATAATAATCTTTCCATTTAATAAAATCATCTACCTTATTTATATATAGAATTTAAATATATACAATCAAAAGTCTCATAAACTTCAAATAATAAATCATCTATTAGATTTATTAATATATCTCTTTTTCTTAAATATTAAGAATACAAAATGACTATGTAAAATTCAAAGTCTATTTCATTTTCAACACTATTTTTATATTAGAATATAACTTTTTAGAACATATTTTCAGAATCAATATTATACAAAATCAATCAAAATTGTAAGGAAATCTAAAAATAATGTTTTGATAAAGAAGCTAAAATTAATATTAAATAGATATACTAATAATTATTATTTATTTGTTGATTGATTGTACATTTTTATTATAATTTCAAACTTACTGAATATCAAATTTAAAAATAGAATGAATGTTCAATTATATTTCTAACAGTAATCATCATTTAAATTGAAATTATTAATCATCATATATGAGTTATAATTAATTAGAATAGACATTTAAGATATATATATTATAAATATTAATTTATCATTATGTTTAATTTATTTTCTCTTGTTTAGAAATTATATCTTAAGTAAAGATCATTTATACACAATAAGATATGAAATTTTATCATAATATCTCAAATTAACAAAAGATATATTGAAGAATTTGTATTAAAATTATAATAATGAAATGTTGTATATCTTCTTAATAATTAAAATGATAAAGAAACGCTATATATTATTGTAATAATTTAGGATTCATTAATAAAATATTAAAAGATGTATATATATATTATATAAAGATTATTAAAATTTTAATCTTCTTAAGTTGTTTAAATTCTTATCATCAGTTATATATAATTGATTTTATATTTATAATCAAATTATTTTATCAAGTAAACTCATTCTTCTTCTAAACCTACTTGGATTTTAACCTTTTGTTTCATCATATGAAGCAATTACAAGCACTCCATCTTTTTTTATAATGCAGCATCCTCCTTTTTGAGTAACTAAATGCCATGGTGTTTAATGAACAGTATAATAAACTTTTTCATCAATAATCAAAGGTTTAGATAAATCACTAGATAAATTTTCTACTTATTCTTAAAGGTTCTATTGTTGAAAAGTGGAATCAATCTATTCATTGAATTAAATTAAGACTTGATCAACAGCATTGTCTTCTTTTAAGAAATTGATATAATCCATTAAAATAATTTAAATTTTAAGAATTTTAATAATAAGTTAAATATTTTCATAATAGTTCATTTAAATTTCCTTCATCATTTAACCATTAATGTTATTTTACTTATTCTATAGTGAATCTTGATTTGTTATCAGGATCTAACATATTTTGAATCAAATCCTTGAAATGTTAATCTGATCTAATGATTTTTTTATCAAAATAATTCCAGAAGGCTTACCATTTTTTCTATTCAATAGTTTACCAGAATTTACATTCTGTTGATTTTGCAATGGTGAAAGGTGGATAGCCATAACAAAGAGTGAAAATTAATACACCAAGTGAAAATACATCAGATTTCTTCAGAATTTCTCCTATAATTAGATTATTTTCCTAATGTAACTCCGGTGCCATGTAAGTGGGAGTTCCACAATGTCTTGGATATAACTTATTAGAATCAATATAGACAGATAGACCAAAGTCAATCAATTTTACATTAGGTTCTTTGGTCATCATTACATTCTCTAATTTGATATCTCTATGAACATAGCCAAGTTAATGTAAGTAAGATAATCCATTACTTAGTTATAATAGAATTTATTTTATGGTGCTCTATTAGAGAGTGCCATATTTTGTGATAACAGAATAGAGATCCTAATTCATGAGTTCTGTAATAAACCATTTGAATTCACGATCTGACTTCACAATTTTCTGAATATTTGGATGACTGATTGATTGTAGAATCTTTATCTCTTTCTCCCTTAATTTTTTGGGACACTCTTCCTTATAAATTTTAATTGCACATGTGTTTCCCTCTTCCGTTAGACATTTATGAATGTGACCGAACAGCCCTTCTCCAATTTGATTTTGTATTTACATTAATAAATAAATATATATATATATATCCTCAATTTTCATTCTGATTGTCATCATAGCATGGTTACTTATCTCATTATTATCTTAATCTCACTCTAATTTCTGATTTAAATTCTTCTTTCCATTCTCCTATTAAAAATGGGTGATGTACAACTTCTTCAATTGTAAATCTATTTTAAGGATCTTATTCTAACATTCCTTCCATAAAGGAATAAAAGTCTTAATTAAATTTATTCTATTTATCAACTAATGCCCAATAACTCTTCCATTATCTTTATTAAATTAAATTCCAGAAGGGACAAGATTTTAAATCAGCTTTAAATGGTGGATGTGCAAAAGCCAAAATGAATATGCATACTCCTAATGAATATACATCTGCTTTAGGTAAATCTTAAACATTTATAAGGCCAATTGTTTATAATTCAGGAGCTAAATACCCTAAAGTACCTTAACATTTTTAAACGAAATTTTAATCCATTTTTTCAGCAAATCCAAAATCACATAGTTTTAAATCAAAGTCTTCATCAATTAATATATTTTCTAATTTTATATCTCTATGAACAACACCAATGTTATGTAAATATTAAATAACACATGAAAGTCTTTAACTGAAATATTTAATAGATTTTAATAGAAAAGGTTTTTAATCCTTTGCTATTATGTCAAATAGATCCATATCATTTAAAAGTTATGTAATTATATATTTTTTTTCAATATTACTATCAATAATTTTGATGATATTTGTGTGATTCAGTTATTTTAGTATATTAATCTCTTTATTAATTAATTTAAGGGAATAATTATCTTTGTATATTTTAATTGCATAATTCTTATCTTAAATCTAAACAATTTAAACTTTGCAAGTTAAGCCAGTTCCAATAATTTAATTTGATATTTTCATTTTTTTTTATAATTAATTATAAAAAAAAAAATAAATTATCAAATTTATACTACAATTCTTGTAACTTCTAATATATTTTTAAATATAATTTAAAATTTATTTTTGATCAAATTAATATACCTATAACTTAAGAATAGTTCCCTTATCATTTTATTAATAAGTTCATAAAAAGAACAAACATGTTTAGTTGAATAATATCTAAAAATGTATATTATATACATTATTATTCTCAATTTAGCTATTCATAAATAACCTTTCTCTAATAAATTAATCTCATTTGTTTAAGAGTTTTTACTTTATTATTCTGTTACTGATTATTAATTTAAATCAACAGAAAATTTTGTATTTCTAGTGAATAAAAATTACATATATTCAAGATTTTGATTTCTTTCATTTCGCATTTTTCTTATAAATCTGTATTGGTTTATATTTATATTCAATATCCTAAACATATTTTATATGATTTAATAATAAAATAAATTTGCATCTCAGTTAAATTAAAAACATTCTTAACTATTTTAAGGTCTTAACTTTTGTTTAATTTCTCTTATAAAATCATGAAAATAAAGATATTTTATAAACTTTCTTTATTAAATAAATAATTATAATTCATAGATCAATCATGATGAAAATACTGATAATTGCTGATAAAAATCCAGTTTAGCAATTCGATGTCAATCTAAACCAAAAAATTTACAATTATATGAGCAATCTATTTGATAAACCTTAAGAATAAATGATAATCAAACTTTCTCCTACTGAGAAATAAATTGATTATGAGGATGAATTTTAAAAATATATGAGTTTTAATACTTCAGCTATAGTATTTTATGTTTTCGATATAAATGGAAACAGTATTTAGTTTACAAAATCTCAGCTTAAAAAATAGAATAGCATTGCATAAGATTTTGGATATTGTAATTAAGAAATTGATGAAATTTCATTGAGTAGAAATTAAATACTCAATTCAACAAAGAGCTTCAATGAAGAAAAATTAGAGATGTTAAATTCCCTTTCAACTAGTTTTTAGAATATTGATATTAATTAAGATTCTATGACTATAATTTAGAATTAGAAGTGTTAATTTTGTACAGATATACTCAATGAAACTGTTATTGAGACTCCTTGTTAGCATTTTTTTCATACTAAATGTTTTAGTATTATTGTAGAAAGCTAACTTTTATAAAAAGCATCAACTTTGGAATGTTTATGCAAAAAGTAACTTAATTTTAAGATATTGTTTTTTTTAGATAATAAATATGATGCTGAAATTTTTAAATATAGATATATATTAAATTAGTTATAAGTATTAGAGAAGAATCTATAGGTAATGTATAAAAATGAGTTTCGAAAATGCAAAAATATTAACAGCTGTAATTTTTTCTATTTACATTAACCTTTCATCTAAAATAAACACTTGTATTGTCCATACTGTTTATGGGAAGATGTATGAATAATTATAAATTTATATAAATAATTTATTGACATTGTTTTTGAACTTATATATTTTATGGATTTGCTAAATGAAAAATATTAAAACAATTAAATTTTAAATTGATGGGTGATTATTAAGGTGAATATCTCTAACAATATCTTTGCAATATCAATTTAAGAAAAAAGGTAAGGATTAATAAATAAGAATTTTTTTAGATTAAAGAACTACTTAAAGAGAAAACAGAAATACTTTAAAAGCTTGAACAATTAGAAGTAGAAATATCACATTCAATAATTAGAAAGATGGAAACAATTAGTCATTTGAAGAAAGGAAAAAAAGATTGAGAAGTCTTGCCAGCGAAATATAAAGAAATTTTGAATGCCCATTATCAAGATGTGGTAAGAAATATGGGTAATAATGATATTATGTTTAGAAGTGAAGGCTCATTAAATTAACATATTAAACTTAAACATCCTGAATTGGTTAATAAAGCTTGATATATAATTTTGTTCTAAATCAATTGAATTTATCATTACTTATTATGTTAATTTTAGATTGTTAAAACAATCCTGGTACTACTTATTAAGTGATTGATATTTATTTTAATTTAATGTTATTATAATACAATTCAATTATAGTTGATGCCAGTTATGCCAGTTACATGAATAAAAAACTACACATAAGAAAATATCATTACAAAAGGATCTGACTTTTATTTAGGAATTTCATCAATCATTTATTCATATGTAGAATGAATAAAAATACATAAACTAAATTTATGGGCATTTATGTTATGAAACAATCAGAACCAAAGTCATTTAATTATAATGAATACAACATTAGAATAGTAATTATAGCAGAAAAAGAATTAAAACAAAAACAAATTTATTTTTATGTCTTAAATAGATTAAATAAATCAAAAAGAGATTACATCAAGAAGATCTATATTCTAATTATTGGTTTATTATCTTGTTAATCAATTAAAATTTGAATATCCTCAATAAGATATTAATTTTGAAAAATAACTCATGGTTATGGATATAGGAAATTTGAAGATTAATAATATTACAAGATATTTGATAAATGATAAGTTATGATGGGGATTTTAAAGAGATATGAAAAGTATATTTTGGAGAATTATCTTTTAAAGGGGACTTTGAAAATGATAAAGTAAATATTTATTTATGAAAATGGATGTGAATATAAGGAATTATTTTAAATATATATTTGTAATCAATTTAATATTCATAATGTAATTAAAGTAGTTAAAAGGTTTAATATGTTGGAAATATCATAAAGGATACTTTTTAAAGGTAGAGAGTACTGATTTTATTAGAATATAAATAAATAAGTAGAGTATAAGTATGGAAGATGTTAGACAAATTTACCAGAATATTTAAAGGGATGTATTGTTGTATATAGGATATATATATAACTTTTAATTTTTAATCTTTCTTATTGAAATGTAATAACAATCTGTTATTACATTTAATTATTATTATCAATTAAATATTCTTTTTAGATTATTAATGATTATTTTATAATTTTTTAAATATTATATTTGCATTCTAAATGAGTTTAAGTTAAGTAAGATTATCATATTTACTTTTAAGGCAGGGCGTTAGGCAATAAATCCAATTACTGGAGAATCTAGATTTTAAGCACCAGATTATCGCCGTTCTTAAGAGGTCAAGAATGAACCTACTAGAACAGCAGAATCAAGAAGAAATTTTGCAAACACTTCTGTACCTGTTGAGAATTAGGAATAAAGTTAATTCTAAATGGATAGGATTGCTCAATTATAGGATTAAGTGTAAATGATGGAAAAGTAACTTACTTAGGAAGTCAAGCGAAATTCAAAAATGTTAGTTGAGCTGGAAAGAGAAGTAAGGACAAGAGGATAAATAGGAGATGTATTAATTATATAATGGTAATAGCCAAACCAAATGTTTGAAGATTTGTAGAATAAGATGTATTCACTGGAAACCAAGATTATAGCATAAGATAGGCAAAAGAGTGAATTGGGTTCTAAAGTGGCTATTTAGGAATAGAATCTTAAGGAATTATTGTACTTTTTGAAGAACACTTAGAATAAAGATACTAATGAAGTATTATAGATGAGAGGAATGTTATAAGAAAAGATAACGGAAGAAAGTTCACATTTATAAAAAGAAAGAGAAAAGACAAAAGCTTTATTTATGGAGATGGTAAGATTAGGAGAATTGTAAGAAAAGTTGCAGGAATCACTTTCGACTTCTCATCAACATTTTGAGTAAAGAATTAATGGGATGGAAAGCAAGATATATAATGGAGAGAAAGCTTTAATTTAAGTAGCATAGAGAGGTGATTCAGGAATGAATTTTATAAATGAAACAAATGAAAGAATAGAGAAGAGAGTGATGTCTTTGGAGGCAAATTTATTAGCATTAGGAGTATGATTATATAATTATTGGATTAGAAAGATTAATTAAAAGATCATGAATAGATTAATAGAGTTGATATGGCTAATTAGAGAATCTAAGAAGAATTTAAGGGAATGTTATAATTAATTTAATAAGATTATACTTAAAGATTAGATACTAGAGTAACTGAAGTCATTAATAGAATTGTTATGGAACATGAATAGAGAGTTAAAACTATGGAAGAAATGAAATAAGCATGGAGTTTAAAGGATTAGATTAATATGGAGAGATTATAATATGAGAGGGAAGAAGTTATTTAAAAATTAGGATCATTAGAATAATTTTAAAGAATTGATTCATAAAAGAAGGATGAAGCCATTCGTTCATTATAAACTATTATTGAAACATAAGTGAATTAAATACTAGTAAATATATAAAATGAAGAAGCTTAAAGATATTCACATGAAGTTTAATTAAGAGGCGATTTATTAAAAATATAAGAGAATATTAAATAGGAGAATGAATTATTTAAAACCCATTAAGCTAATATTACAGAAAAGATTACAGATATGATAAGAATTGAAGTTTAAACAAGATTATCAACTGATACAGAATTGAAGAATCTTACATCTGCTATAGCAACTGATATCGTTTCTGATTTAAATAGTTTAAAAGATTAAATTGAAATGGCTAATAGAGCATTATCAACTTAAGTTAAATAATTAGAAAAAGATTAAGCAGAAAAAGCAGAAAGATTATCTTTGTATATTGATGATGAAATAAATAAAGTAAAAAAATCAATTTAATTATATTTATAGGCTATTAAGACATCTGCTTAGAAGTATGAAAAGGTTAAGGTGATATTTTCCAAATTTGGTGAATCCTTTAAATAACATATAACAGCCTATGAAGGTTTGAAATAAGATCTTAATTCTCGGTAGACTATTATTGAATAAAATATTGATATGATTAGATAAGACTTTTAAACTGTGATAGAAGATTAATAGACACATTTATTGGAAAGAATATCAATTGAAAAAAATCAAATATTAGAAGCTGTAAATGCTACTGTCTAATTTTTAGAGGATAAAGTTAATAAATTAGATGAAGATAGTTAAAATAAATTTAGGATATTTAGAGAAGTTATTGAAGAAAATCAATAAGTTGTTGTTGAAAAAACTAAACTTATACTTGATTAAAATGAGTCTTATTAATAAACATAAATGAAAGGATTAAAATTGATGGCTGAAAGTATTCAGGAATTAAAGTATTTATATATCACATTCAATTTAGATAATAATAATAATTGATAAAAGAAGACCATTAGAATCAAATTTAAGAAGTTAATTAAGCTGTTGAAAATACTAGATAAGATATTCAATAAATTAATAATAATATAAAAGAAATAAATGAAATATAGGTTTAACATAAAAGTCTATTAGATGAAAATTAAACTGATATTGAAATACTTAAGAAGGAGAATGAAACTATTATGATTAAATAATAAGATATTGATAAGAATGTTGAAATATTAAATGCAGAACAAAAAAAAATTCATAATACTTTTTAATTACTAACTTAAAATGTGGAATAAGTAAATGATAAAACTTTAACTATTGGAGAAAGAGTAGATGCTATCAATACTAATTTTTAATAATTATAAGAGGAACTTAAATAAATTGATTAAAAGAATTCGAAATTAGAAGGAGATTTAGAGGATTCAAATCTTAAAATTAATAATGAATTCAAAACTATTGAAGCTAGATTAGAAGACTCTTAATAAACAATTAGTACCATATAAGATTCTTTAAGATAAAATGATGATATTGATAAAAAATAAAATCTAGAAATTGATGAATTATAATAATCAGTTAAAAATTTACAAGATAGACTTAAATAATTGGCTCAATTACCAGCTTGATATTATTATTTATTTATATATATATACATTATCTATCATGTATTGCAATTTCTTTAGTATAAGGAATTTTTAAATTAAAAATAAATCCTTATTTTTAAAATGGCAGAAGAATAAGTAATGACTGTGAAATTTGCTAATCAACCTAAATTATTTGGCAAATGGGATTATGATGAAGTTCAAGTTACAGATTAATGTTTCAAAGACTACATTGCAGTCTAAACTTCAAAATCTAGAGTATTTGTTCCTCACACTGCTGGAAGGTATTCTTTTCTTTCGAAAATAGATATCAACGAAAGAAGTTTAGAAAAGCATAATGCCCAATTGTAGAAAGATTGGCTGGTGCATTAATGTTCCATGGACGTAATACAGGTAAAAAAGTAAAGGCGGTTGCCATAATCAGACATGCATTTGAAATAGTACACTTATTGACTGGTAAGAATCCACTTTAAGTCTTATCATTGGCTGTTTAAAGAGGAGGAGCCAGAGAAGATTTTACAAAAGTGGGTACAGGTGGTGTTGCTAAATAATAAGCTGTTGATGTTGCTCCTATCAGAAGAGTAAATGAAGTAATTATAAGATAATATAAATTTATATAGGCAGTCCATAATCTAGCTAAGGGTGTAAGAGAATCAGTTTTCAAGAAAATGAAGACTATTGCAGAAGCCCTTGCAGATGAACTTATTGCAGCAGCAAATGAAGATGGATAAAAGTCTTACACCATTAAGAAGAGAGATGAACTTGAGAAAGTTGCAAAAACTAATCGTTGATGCATAATAAATATAAAAAAAATATAATATTTTTAATGGAAATCATTAATATTATATTATACTTATCAATTTTGTTGTTGAAATGATAAGTTCATATATATAAATGATTTATTTCATTAGGCATAATTCTTATGTGAAAAGAATTTTGTTTAAAAATACATATAATCTTAATTAATTAAAATGGCTCTAAATCCACCAATTACATAGACTGGAGTTCCATTAAGAGTGGATCAAGAATTCTTTATATTGTATAGAAATGAAATGGAAGGAGAATTTAAGATTGAAAACATGGGAAAGTTTAGTGCTAAAGGAAAAGTAAGATAAAGATATTTAAAATTAGGTATATGTAACAACATGCAGAATGGTTTTTGTAAGTGACAAATTTTAAAGAGAATCCTTCAAATCTTTTGATATCCCTTTGGCATATATGAGTGCTGAGAAATTTCAGTAACCAATATTTGGAAGTAATTATTTAGAAGGCAATGTGGATCCATTATATAATCTACTTCCTGGAAAAACTCATTTTAAATTATGGTTCAAAGCAGGAGGTAGGAATAAATTTATACCTTAGGTTGTGATAAGTTTCTAAAGATCCTTGTTAGTATATTAACATAAATTAGAAGATAAAGAGGTTCTGGATAACGAGTCCCTGATGCACGCATGATGGAAAATTTTGCAAGAAATTAGAGTTAGGCCTTCATTGATCCTAATGATCCCAGTGTTATCTATGTCTAATAACCTCATTTAAATTAATAATCTTATGGAAACACCACATGGGGAATTCCTTAAAATCCAACTTAGGTAGCTCCAATAGGAGGACCAAGTTATGGAATGCCATAATAATAATATCAATAACCACCAATGAATCAATAGTATCAACAGCCTAATCAAGGATATTACCAATAATAACAGATTCCACAATAAAATTATTAAAACGTTCCTTAAATTGGTACTCCTATAAATTACAATTATGGGTATCAATAATAACCTTAAACAACTTACAATTAACCTGGTACTCAATAACCATATTAATAAAATACCTAACCAACAAATCCATATGCTCAATAAAACCCTCCCACATATAATTAACCTACAAATCCATATGCTTAATAAAACCCCCCCACATACAATTAACCAACAAATACATATATATAACCTGTTCAACAATAGTAATAACAACCACCATTAGCATATGAGAATTAACCACAATAATAAGTGTATTAGAATTAAGTCCCTGAAATATAATAAAATCAGAATTTCTCATATCCTTAAGAGTAAAATAATAATCAATAAGCACCAATTTAAAATAATGACTAAGCACCTTAAAATTAACCGTAATAAGATTAGGTAAGAAATCAACCGAATACAGCTTATTACTTTGGTTTTTGGGGTCCACAATTATAAACAAATTAAAATGCAATATTGTGAAAAATTCAATAACATATATATATATATATATAATATTGTATTCAATAAATAAGTATACATATTCATAATCAAATTTATGATTCATCTGTTTCTTGAATGACACTAGAAAAATAATATATAATTAATTTTTACCTTTGTAGATTTTCCTTAACTTAATTGACTAATAATTCATAATCTTATTAGCCTACTCCCCAAACCTTACAAAATGATTTAACTACTTCTTCAACGTCATCATTTCTTCTCAATGCTAATCTTCCTACTTTTCTAGGTCCTAATTTTATATCAATATAAAGAATTGGTAATTCTTTTTTTTATTATCTTCTCTATAACATTTCTGGAGGAGAAAAGGGTTGATTCTTAACTTTCTCATAGTTTTCTCCACTTGGTTTATGATTTAATTTGAGATCTTTTAAATGTTTCCTATCATTTGCTCTTCTCATTCTCTCAATGGCTTCCCAATATCCACCAATACCAGTTGATTATGATTCTGGCATAGAATAATTAATTTAAGGATGAAAAGAACATTTACTATATTCTGATTCTTCTTTCTCTTGTTCAGCAATTTTAGCTCTCTCTTCAATCTCTAATCTATTCTTAACTTAATATAATCTATCAATCACATTAGGTAATTCTTTTTTTGAAATAATTTATGGTTTAAATGTACATTCTTACATATCTTTCATAAATTTTTCTTATTTTAAAAACTCTATTTTCTGTTTAGATAATTCCTTCTTTTTATAAAGCTCATTCACTCTACTTTCTGCAAGTCCTGATGATATTTGAGATTATGATTCTTAATTTTCTTTCTTACCTGATTATTATTGTAAAGCTTCACTAATAGGATTAATTGTTGGTTTGAATGTCAATGTCTTTTCATAAGTTTCTATTAAATTTTATGCTAAAGATGCTTTTAAATAGCCTATTTTGGTTCCAGATAAACGAGTTTTTTAATATGCTTAGAATTCAGAGCAAAATTTATAGATTGCTTCATAATCAAATTCTTTCTCAGAAATCTTCTCTAAATACTCTTGAATTAAAATAGCACATTTAGATGGTTCTAATTAATTGGGATCCAAGATTATTCTAAACAAACAAAAGGCTGCTTGTATATCAACCTTTTCTTCATCGTTAGAAATAATTGCAAATGCTTTCTCATGTAAATCTACTTCTTATTGTCTACCTTAAAAATTTGGTGTTACTTTTGCATAGGATTATTGAGACCTTGTGTCTCTAACTGATAATCTTGATTATATGATATAGTTTAGAATATGTCTAGTAATGTGAATAAACGTCCTAATTGTTAGAAATTTATTTGTCCACTATTTTATTCATCAATTTCTTTTAATGTCTATTATTGGAATATAAAATACATCATTCAATTTACGTTCCAATTTAGACACTAATATTTTAGTACTTGATTGACTGACTAATTTTTGACTTCCTTAATCAGGATTAATCTTTTTATTTGACTTAGTATTTTTTGCACATATCTCTTCAATGAGCTCTTTTTCTCTGTCAGATAAATTTATCATTATATATTATTATTTATTCCTATTAAATATAAATATTTCATATATTAAACATTATATTAATTCTAATGTTTAATATTCACAATTAATTATATTTTACTATAAATTTTCATCTAAACCAAGTAGTAAATCCTTTTCCTCTACTATTTCTCACTATTAAATATTTACAGTCTCTAGAATTATAAAAAGTATTTTCACAACTTGTAAATGATATTTATTATTGTAATTAAAGTTCCCTTTTATCTAAACGAAATATTCGTATTGTTTTATTAAATTTATGAAATAATAATTTTTCTTCTTTCTAAAAGCTTATTGTATTTTCACGACTCATGTCTACAGTACTTTCTATTCTAATTTTTCTTACTCTAATTAATTTAGAATGCCAATTATTCCATTCATATAATATTATATTCTCACAAGTACTTGGTGATGATACAAACATATTTTAATTTAAATAAACCACCATTTTCCAAATTGAACATGTTGCTGTTTTTAATTTATAACATATATGCCATTTATAACCATTATAACATTTAGCTAAAAGTATTAAACTTTACATTCCAATTATTAATTCTTTTTCTGATTCACTTAAACTCATACTAGTTGTTTTATCTATTAGTTCTAGTTAAAATTAAGTTTTCTTAAATTATTATCTCTTTTCCTTTCTCCAAAATTCTACCGATCTTTCTAAAGATATTATCATTTTTTTTTCATCTTTATTAAATATTAAGAATTATATTCTCTCTTCTAAATTAATCACATTTCCTTTTACCCATAGGTTTTCTTCATTGCGTTTCCAAAAACTTAAACCATATCCCATTGTGATAAATGTTTTACCTGATTTCTTAAAATATACTTAATTTATAAGCAACTCTTAATCTGAGATTATTTATGTATTAATTAACTAACCATTTTTTTAGATTGAATATATATATATAACTGTCCAAGTACATCCAATTAATATTGTTGAATCATTATTTATAGTAAAACATTTAAAACATTCATTTTCTATTTTCTCTTGTTAATTCACAATCTCAAATCTTTAGAAATCCTAAATCATATAATGAGGATTATTATTATTGAAATATAAACTATGCATAATACTAAATGGGCTATTAATCATAATCAAAATTTCCAATTTGAATCTGTAGCCATAGCCCAAATGAATTTATTTCTTAAAGTTTTTGAAAACACTCTTTCTATTGGAACATCATGTACTTTACAAAATGCTACACTTATTCTAGGATCATTGTAATTAGTTTTAGATGTTCCTAAAGCAATCTCCTTATTTTCTTCTTTCTTCTCCAAACCCTTTAATTCCTTCTAATATTTTTCTTAAGTTCTTTATATCTATTACTTAATCTTATCATGTTATCCTGGGAACTTCTTAATAAAGATACTATTCTTCTTCTAAGATCCCTCCTCTAATTAGACTTCTTCTTCATATTCATTTGGATTCTTCTTCTTATAATGTTATTCCAATTCATGTATATATGTTTTCATACATTCTAATTTAGTATTGATTTTCTTTTTAGTTAACTCAAATTATTTTGAAATAGTTTTTTGATGATTACACAATATAGCAACCTATTTGTTAGCATTATCATAGAAATCAACCTAAATATATATTGTTAATTAATACTTTTTATTAAATTGAATGACCATCTAAAGTACCACCTAAATCAAGTTATTATTAAAGTGTAAAACTTGCATTATAAGTTCTAAAAACTTTAGCTGTCAATCCTTCCATTTATTTTTTCAAGAAATCATTCAAATCATCCACACTTATATCGCTAAATAAATTGTCTTCTGGTTATTTTCCTTTAATAAATAATTTAAGATTTTTCCAAATCTAATGTGCTAATTTAACTTCATTATTATATCTCATAGAATCCTTACCCAAAAAATCAAAAGCAACTACATCATCTTCCTTCAATTTTATATGTTCTACTCTTAAACTACAACAACCAACTGTATCTGCTTCATCTTCATCTTTCTCATTTCCTACTCTCAATGCCAATTTATCTATTAAATAAGTTGCTGTTCCTAATTATCTTTCTTTAATTGAATCTGATTATAATTTCTTTGTATAATTTTCTCTAATTTAATCAATACAATTTTTCAATCTCCTTGCTTTTTCATATTTCCTTTTATCATTCATCTACTTAAATCTCGAAGTTGCAGCAAATTAAACATATTTATGATTGTCTTTCCTAATACTTGAATCAACATATGAAAATAACCAAGTAACATCATTTCTATGCACAATCTTACCCCAAGAATGACCAGGTAATTTGCATTAAGGCACTGGAGCCTAAGTGCTTAAATTCACTGTTAATTCTTCTGGAAATATTCTAGCTTTCAATAATCCAGCCTTTGGATGCTCCCCACGTCCCTTAAATAAAGTAGGCTATTCCAATGTGTAATTACCTACTCTTTCCAAACAACCATCTACTAAAGCATATCCATAAAATAATTCTCTTTAATCTCTTTCTAATTTTTCCTGTTTTTTTTATTCATCTGATTTATTCAATCTCAATAATCTTTGCTATTCCAAATATTCCTTTATCTTTGTGAAATCAGCCTTATCCAATTAAAACCCTTCAAATTTTGTCTACATAAGTGATTCAAAATTCTTTCTATAAATTTCCTTATTCTCATATGGAGATCCAATTGATTATGCCCAATATGTGCAAAGTTCTTCTTACTCCTCTGTAAGGGTGATCAATTTTCCATTATAAATTAGACCCACATTATGTCTCTTATAAAATGGAGGAAACAAAACTCCATGATGCTCTAAATATCTCCACTCTTGACCTTATTGTTCTTCCTCCTCAGATTCTTCAGGATTAGCTTCTTCCCACCAATTATGTGATCTTGCTTAAAATCCCCCTAAGCGAATTTCTTTATATTCATCTATTTTGATTTTCTTGTCACCCATTTTATATTAAATATTTTAATTTCTTATTTCAAATATCAATACCTGATCTATTAATATGAACTAAATATTATTTATTATAAACTAAATTTCATAATTTAAAGCACTCCACACTGTTGAAATAACTACTTAATTTTCTTCATTACATATTATCTTTACAAATATTATTATTATAAAAATAATGTAACAGGAAGAGAGAAGAATAACAAAAGATTATCTTAAAAAACTATTAAGAAAGGAATTCAAACTATATTATACAACTCCTGAGCTTAACGATTGTCTTTATCTGCATTACAAAGGGTTTGATAAGATTGAAAATTTAGAAGAGTTTACAGGATTAAAAGTAATTTACTTGGAAGGAAATGGTTTAAATAATATAGAAGGTATGTTGATTCAACTATAATAGGACTTGATTGTTTGACTTCCCTAAAATGTTTATATTTATAGGAGAACATCATTAGAAAAATTGAAAACTTACACATGTTAACTGAGTTAATTAATTTAAATCTAAGTGATAATATGATAACCAAGAT